TGTGTGTGTGTGTGTGTGTGTGTTTGTACTTGTGTGTTGGAATTCTATCACCCCCAGCTCTCATGTGTACAGTACAACAGCTTGTGATATCATGTGATGTAACATGACTGTAACATGAGCCTGGTTTTTTTCCAGAAACATTGTTAGCACATGTCATCATAAATCACGCACATGCAAGTGACCTTTGCAGCACAGACGTTCAACCTCGACCTGAATTATGCAAACTGCAAACCAAAAACAACTCCTGCTGTGAGCCTCAGCCAAGTAATGACTGGAAAACAGTTTTTAAGAACATGAGTAGATATCTTCATAGATATATTTGGTGTCTGGCTTCTGCTGGTGGGGTTAGGAGTTAGGTGTTAGCTGGATTTCTTCATCAAATATGGAAACATCAACAATAAGTTAAACAGTACCAACGCACATTCTCACTCTATGTTTGTGACTAGAGCCTGTGCTTGACTAACATCTCTCTTTCACTCTCATAGCTTTGCTGTATCTGTCACGGGTGAAAAACAACTTCTTTATTATATTCTAACTGGTACATGGTTTAGGTGTATAAAATTCCATTTTGTGCGCTGCCAGTATTTTTTTGGCAGTGAGAATACAATCCCCTTGACGTGGATTCAACTAGGACAAGCTGCTGCTGAGTGAAAGTGGGGATGTAAAAACTTTGAAACTTACGTGGCATTGCTGAAACCCACGTATTCATTTCCTGCCATCTTTTTCAGAAAGTTCATGACCTGGAGAGAAAGAAATGGGAGAGTTAAGAGTGACAAGATAATCAACAGGGGTTTCATAGTAAGGAGGAAAATTGTTTTGGCCTGTGTAGTGTCAAGTTTAAATCTAAAATAGCAGTGACCCCATTCCATACTACATACTAATGTAAACAATATACATTACAATAGACCAGTGCTATGTTTGATTTTGGATACTTCCGTAAGTAAACTTAAATGTAGTGCACCGTGGGCAGTAAGCCCACTGGTGAAGTGCAAGTAGTGCTGATGTGCACTGACCAGAAATGATGACTACATGTGACCATGTCGCTGCCAAAATATGTACTAGCTGCTTTGCTCACTTGACGAAATTAATGTTTTACTTTCTTGTGTGAACTGTTTTGACCCTTTTGATTGCATCATCCAGGTACTTAAAAATGGTCCGAGTGAACGTATTTGGAGACTCAAAATAGCAAGAGTGAGTTTTGAGATAAACAAATTAGAGCACAGCAAGTGTTACAGAATACCAATGCTACTGACTTACCAAATAATGGTTACAATGAGTATAATTTGTTTTCCTGTGTGAGCACACTGAAAAACCTGCTTAGAATTTGTGTGTGATTTAGGACTGGGCCACTCTTAAAGACTCTTAAAGGCACAAGTATAAAAAAGAAAACAATAAAACTTGTCAGTACAAGAACCTAATGTGTTAGTAGGTTTATCATACATATTTATATATATTACTGGTCCCTTTCATTAAGACAATTACTTCCAACTTCTTATACTTACATAGTCAAACTTTTCTGCATTGCCTTCACTTTGCTGAGGACAGAACAAAAGATTATGCAGTTAGTTCCTTCCATTCATCTGGAAATGTTCGAGAGGACAAGCACAGCATCATATAGGTAACACTAGAATGAGAATTCTACTGCTGACAAATTAAAACTACAGAATTAGAAGATGTGATAAGATTTTATTACAAATAAAATCATGAGCTTAGCCAAGAATTAATCAGGTAAAAAATATTAATAAGATTGGCTTGCAAATAGGTTACAAGAGGGGCATCTTTTGGAGTGAAAGGGATGTTTAGTAGACATGTCGTGCATTACCAGATTAGCCAGTTAAGGAAAACATGTCCAACCATTACATCTCACTGATTCCAATGATCAGTTTAACAATTGTTTCATATATAAGAGTTCAAATTAAAAGCACATATTATAAAATAAATATGCAACAGCCTTAAATGTGTGTGTGTGTCTACTTAAAGTATGACAGTGAATAAATGTTGGCGTTTGCAGGCAAGTTTGTATTATGGGTTACCATAATGCAGGTGTGTGTGTGTGTGTATGTGTTTCAGGATATACATCAACTTTAGGTCAACACGAGTCATCTGTGCAGAGTCTGTTGGCCAAAACAATAGGGAAGGAGGGAGAAGAGGGAGGAATAGTCTTCCTCTGAAAATAAGACTCACAGCTTGTAGCTCAGTGTATTTTTAATCAAGTAACAAGCCAGATGATGCTGCATATCCCACAAAGAAAAACACAGCAACAGAAAAATGGACACGCATGCACATTTTAAGTGCTATAGCTTTTAACACTAGTTCAAAATACTGAACTGTTCATGTTGTGGATGGTTTTTAACTTTACATTGAAAACGAGCTAATGCTTTATGTGTGACTGACGTACATTTCAAGTCGTACACTTTACTGTGCAGAAGAAAAAATAGGTGACACTGATGGAGGTGTTAAAGAGTCACTAAATGGGGTTTCTACAGAGCTGATTGGAGGAGAAAGAGAGAAGAGGTAGGATCAGGGGATGGGGGAATGCGAGGAGATAGATATGGAAAAGGAAGAAAAAATTACCAACGTCATTTGACCTGCAGCAGCAGTCATTATTTCCCACAGTTCCTAAGTCTGGAAAATATGCAACAACATACAAAAACAGCAACAACATGTAGCCTTCAAGCACCATGTAACAACAGTTTGGGGCAACCATCCCATTCCCATCAAGGTCAACATGGGCAACCTGACCAATAGCTTCACATTTGTGCTTCAATAAAGATAAATAATAATAATACATTGACACACTATTGACAGTGATGAGCGGATGTGGACACAAACACACATTATCGTCTCAAAAAGGTGAGGTGATATTCTCTGGTCTTAAGATCTGCTCTGGGTGTGATTCCTTGCTGCTCAAATGTTTACTATGTGATAAGAAATTACCTGAACATACAATTCTCCACATGCTGCCACTTGTACAGTCTGCATCATATATTAAAGAAAAACTTTGGGCATGTTTGACTTAACCAATGCAAACATAGCTGTATAGAATAGAAACTAAGGGTGGAGGACCCCTCTGTACTGGTAGTTAAGAGTATGTATGTAAAATGATGCAAGTAGAATTACTCAAATACAGTGGATGTTTTTCTGCTTCATCTGTAAACTATACTGACACATGACCTCGTAAAGCTTTTGTGTCAAATGCATCATTAACATTAATGTTTAGGAGGAAGAATGTTAGGAGTGTTTAGTGTTCACTTTTCTTTTGTGTCAAATGCATAAGCCTGCAATGTATCATTAACATAAAGGTTTCAGATAAAAAAGTGGATGATGAGAATCAAGAGTCAAGGACAACAGTAAAGGGGAGGGGGAATCCTAAATGTGCTAAAAGCAACACTAAACTGTTATGTATAGCTGAGGGAAGCTGCATGGGCCATATGACACAATGCAAACCCTGAAAATACATAAAAATGCAGCTTGGGATGTCATTTAAAAAAATATTTTCTTAAAGGGGCAATTTAAGAAGCCAACTTATTAACTGCTGTCTGTGATCACTTATGTGCAGTATATCATTTAACACAATTCACTCTAAATGTATTTTCTCTTTTGTTTGTCAACTGGCTGACCAGCTGTAAAACTTGGAATGGAAAATTTTGTGATTTCAGATTTTTCAGGGTTAAGCAGCTACAGAAACAGAAATATGAAATCACAGAGAGAAGCAACAGTTGGCTTCTAAACATGATTAGTTACAGAGCAGATCAAATTGCTGCCAAGACAAACCAGATGTTTGGGTTATACACAGATGTGGAGAGTTTTTAATACTGGTAAGAAATGTTTGGAGTCAAGGCCCAATGTTTCCTTCCTTTTTCTCAATTATAGTGCGTATTTACGAGAGGGACTATTTGAAACAGTAGCTTCTTCCTGTCAAGTCCCTGAGTGCATTGATATAACCAATATATTTTTCATGAGACGCTACAAGACAAAAGGCTTCACACGGTTATTAGTCCTTCAATGGATTACTCATTAATCTCTTCCTCCACTAGAATAGATGCTGCAGCACTACAGAAAGATAAATTGTAGCAGTTCAGTTAAAAATTAACTTTTGTGGAAGCAACTTTAGAAACATGTCATCTTTGTTTTAAATGCACAGTTAAAGAACTATTTTCTCATCTGGCCCCTTGTTGGAATTAAGAGTACAACCATTGTGTCTCAAAGAATTTGAATGTCCCTGTCAACAGAAACTACTTGGTCAAGAATATAGAGCAAATTCAACTTAGGTTAAATAAGCTTGTGTTTGCAAAGTGTTAATGCATAAAAAGCACCAAAAAAAGTTTAAAAAAGAAAATGATTTCAGCAGCACATGAAAACTGAAAACACACAGGTCCCTCATCCTGAGACTTATCTTATCTGTCTACAATCTAATATGTACAAGGCGTCAACACATGTCACAGGCCTCATGCTTCAGTATGCTTCTAAATACTGTTCATATACTGTACATAGATGGAAGAACACAATCTACAGTTTAATTACTCTGACTTTGTCCTCTCTCAAGATTGCAAAGTCTTATGCCAAATGAAAATTAATAATCATACCTCCAAGCTTTTATAGTACATTATGTCTTTCAACAGGACATGATTAGTCAAACTATTCAGTTCAAAATCCTCCAGAGAAAAGCTGGAGTCAAATACCAGTCCATGAATTTTGCAGCAATTAACAGAAAATGTGTCAGTAATTTGTTCTTCAATAAAGTAAGAGGAAGCTAATTGGAGATACTGAAAATAAAAATATAAAAGTCTTGCAGCTGTGAGGGAACAGAGCTGGCACAGAGTAATGGTGTTTATAGACAGCTCTTGTGTGTGTATGTGTGTGTGTGTGTATGTGTGTGTGTGTATGTGTGTGCGTGTGTGTGTTTGCTAGCCTTAGTTACAGGACATAAAGAGATCAAGAATTTACCATTTTGACCTCACATCTGTCTTTACACTGAGTTTCAAAAAAGAAGTCCAAACTGTTGCTGGTGTGCGTGCACCTGCATTTGACTAGCTCCCTGTCCAGGTTATTTTCAGCAGGGTCAGTAACAATGTGCGTGCTTCTCAGGCTAAGTACCCTTCAGGAAGTATTAGCACAAGTCTTAATCACCACAACAAGACACATGGCAGTGGACTCAGGTGTGACCTAGATATACTTCAAGCTAAGTCAAGAGTCATAAATATCTGGACAGTAAAAAGTATTCAGTCTACTGAATCTGTAACCACAAAACAATAACAACACAGATTTGTGACAGTGGTTTTGGACAGGATATTAAAATTCAGCATTTTGGTGAGTCTCCTTTAGTAGGTTTCATTCCATTCAAATAGAAGTAGGTTAATTACCCTTATCTGCAAGCCTTATCTACTACCAATATTTACGTATGTTAACCCTAATTCTATCTTCACAATAAAACAGCTCATTGATACCCACCATTCCGGGAATTGAGGACACACAAACAACACACACAAACTGGAAATTAATAACACAGATGAAGGGAAACAGAGTGGTTTTGCTTTTACCTTTATCAGTGAAGTACAAACAATAGCACCAGCATTCACCATGGGGTTGTGAGGCTTATCTGCAAAACAAGAGGTCAGTTAACACGCTGTACAGGATCAAAGTGTAAATGTTTAGTCATTTTTATGCCTGAGTGCTGTGTCTATAGACAGATCAAACAGCAACAATCAAATACACACGTTGACTCAAGATATTGTAGCTGTGGTATAATATATGATGTCAACAGAGCTTTGACATTTACAGTGGCTCTGTAACAAACCCTGTAGTGTGTTTCAACAAGAGAAAATATTTCAGATTTTCTAGCTCGACTGGATTCATGTTTCAAATATGTCTTAAGGGGAGGGGGTCTAGGGTTATCTGTGTTCAATGATCAGCTACTGAGGAGACAAGGTCATTGATTTTCATCTGGAGAAAAAGGGGGTTTAACCTGAAAAGAAATCTTACATTCCAGTTAATCATCTGTAACTTGTTTCATCTTATGGGACTCGTGACATGCCCCCCACCCCCACTAGAGAGATAAACCTTTACAAAGCAGTAGCCTTTCTTTGCCCTAACTGACCCTGAGGGGAGCTCACTCCCTTTTTCCATTTATTGTAGCAGCACTGGGCCAACTTAATGATGAGATCCCTCCTCCCTCTCAAGTTCAGGTTTAACTACATCTACTCTGACCGCCAAGCACAACTTTGACTCATATCAAAATGTCCCATAAATATATCAATATTACTGCAAGTAATTATACAGCCTAATCCATGTGCTGTGCAGCCATGTTCAGGTTAAGCAACAATGCTGTTTAGAAAAAAACCTTTCTACTAATCTGACTCACTCCCCTGGCAGCTCAGTCACAGCTGCACAGTTTCTCTCTCTGAATGGGTGCTTATAGCAGACTGTCACACCTAGTGTTATTGGGTTCATGAGCAAAAAGTAGCAATGAACTGTACATGTAAAAAAGATAAGGTGGGAAAAACAATCAACTCTATCCACATTTTCTAAGATTCAGACTTAAAGTCACTGCCTTGTTTACGAAACAGATGCAAACAAATGTGAAGCATTAACAGGATAGTGATATTGTAGGTTGTAACTAGCAGTTACCAACAGTGTTATTATGCAAAAATAAGAAATACCAAATTCCTAAACACAGCCCTCTGTTGACAACGCACAGGACACCTTCTATTATGAAAGTAATATCATAGGGCCAACAGGAGGAAAAAACAGTGTATGAGCTAAGTTTTCAGCGAGAAGTAACAATGAAGAAAGAGAAAAGTCGGACATCTCACCATCTTCATCCAGGAAGAGCTTATTAAAGCGCAGGCCACTGGGCTCCTTTCCAATGAAACTGTGCACGTACTCTGTGCCATGGTCATGGACAGCAACGGCATATTTCAGAGGCTTGACACAAGACTGCAGACAGAAAGGGAGCTTGGTGTCTCCTACTGTGTGTCTACAAAAGACAAAAGATAAGTGATTGACATGATAAGTCAGAGTGATGGAAGGAGTGCTCATGGAAATATTCAACTTCAGTAATAAGAGTGCTTGATAACTACACTGTTTGTTCAGTGCTAATGTTATCTTTATGACTTCCTCTGTTACCCTAACATAACAATTATACAGGCCCATGGAACTTTACAGCTATGAACAGGCTGATCCAAACACCTGTTGGCATCATTACACTACATATGAGACAAGTGTCTCCTGTTGTTTTGTCTTTATTAGGAAATACAGGATAGTTTACACACCTGCACACGGTGCAGTGGTTATTACACTGAATTTAGGGGAATCATAATTTGTTATTAAGTCCGTCAGTTGTCAGTGATTTCACAGAGAGAAAAAGGGACAAACATTTATTGTTTGTTCCTGCTCATGAATGTCTCACCTCTGTCCATCCACTGTGCAAAGAGAGACTGCCCACAGGTCAGGGCTGAATTTGGCAAGCTGAGGAATGTAGTCTGCAACCTGAAAGAGAGGTGAGGTAATTAAAAGGGTGTCAGAGCAGCAGTGACCTTTCACTGCTGACGTCTGCTGAGGCCCACGATTCAGAGGAAAGCTAATACTAACACAGAACACAATAACAAGACTAACAGAAGTCAACTCTTCATCTGAGGGTTAGAAAGGAAAAGCCACCATTAGATACTGTATGTCTTTCACTTCTTCACTGGAAGAGTACAATGATTAAGATATTTGGTTGTTTTCTTCTGACTACAAAAACAACCAAATCCCTTGTGCTGATATCAGTCACTTACGTTTGCTAATACACCTTTTTTTTGGGTTTTTGTTTGACCTCTCAAAGCAGAGCAAGCATAGGTGAAATATTAACTTTACCAATGGCTCCATGGTCCAATACGACAGTGAATGCCTTCATCGATGTCATTAATCCCATTTGTGCCTGTCGGTTACAGGGTTTATTCTTTAGTGACTACAAACACTTCTATTGGCCCCAGGCGAGGGGCCTCTTAAATGCAGCCTCTAGTACACATGAAGTCAGTAGATGCTTTTCAGCTGAGAGCAGGAGATCCACTGCAAGAGGTTTGCGTAACCTGCAAATCGTTGCCATTAATTCTCATCTCCAGCTGTGACAAATTGGCTGCTGTCTATAGATGGATTATGTCACAAAATGTTTTGTGTAAAGCCAAGTTTGAAGTTTTGTCTGGTCAGACCCATGACTACTAAATTCTATTGTAATGATGTAATAATGACTGCTGGGTACTAATGGGTCAGAGCCTCAACAAGTTGAAAGGCGTTGATGTGATCCCACCGAGATGGTCTATAGTTTTTGAGGATTTTGCTGCTGTATCTATATTCTGAAAATATTTGGAGCTAGCACCTAAAATGTTGCTTAGGAACCTTCCTAACTGAGTGAAATGACCCGGGAGAATTTCAGTGGTCCCCATAATAAGAGCTGTTCGAATTCAAAATGATAAGGAAAGGAGCGTCAATGCTTGCTCATTTATCTCCTTTAGCCTAGGAAACACCGGACCATTCTTTATGAAAGGAAAGGAGACAATGCTGCCCCACAATTCTTTGCTGCAGCAACCTCGACTAAATGTTCCCTTTGTATAAAATATAAAACATTTGTTTATCAGGATGTGTCATTTTATTATGACTGTCAGTGTACAGCCTACAGCACACAGTGCTGTGCATTTTTGTGCATACCTTGTGTTATAACTAAAGTTGTTAAAAAAGACTAGTTTTGAAAAACTACCTTGTTCAAGCCACATTCTTCATGTCCTTATTATACTATTACCTTTCAGTACAGGTGAATTAAACTCTCTGCTACATTTATAATGGTTAATAGGAAGAGGGAGTGGTTGTGTCAGCCACTCCTGACACACACACACACACACACCCCCCTGGTCAGAAACCGAAAGTAAACAAGAATTTCTCCTCTCGCTGTGGACTCTTCTGATGGAGTTGTTTGTCCAGCGTTGGTGGAAATAAGGCCGGTAAGTCAGTTCCCTCTTCTCAACGTTTCAGTGGCTCGCACACACAAAATGTGAAAAACAAATGACATGACTCGTGAGAGGCAGGTCACCATAGTTAGATATAGTTCTTTTTACAATTCTTACGGTTATGCAATCGTGATGTTATCAAACCGCTGTTAATCCCGACACCCCTAAAGTGGAGTTGGATTTTCTCTGCACCGTGATTCTCCTTTCCTAACTCTTTAAGGCTTCTACTTCACATCTTTCCCTGACCCTGTGACGTATTCCATCGAGGTCAAGGAATGGTGGTTAGGAAAGGAGATTATTTGGACTTTCAGAATGCAGCCACTGAACTACACCTTCGATACAAGCTGAATGCAGATTGAACCTAGACTGTCGGAAAAGATTGATGGTCATGAATGAGCTAAATAATGCTTATGATGCACTGGGAGAGAAAAAAAACAAAAGAGTCATGATCTAAGGACACACCTGTCCTCCAGAGAGGTTTTTGGCATTCTCATACAGCTCATCAATAAGGGAGGTGAAGGACTGGAAGTCTGGGATGACGAACTTCTTGCGGAAGGCCTGAGTGAGCAGGACAATGTTGCTCTGGACACACCTGATGAACAAACCACAAATAGCATGCAAAAATATTGTGACTGCATGCAGATACAGGAAAAGTTTGTCAACCAAGTTTGCAAGCCTGAAGTCTGACAAACTTCTATGAATGTAATTAAGGATTGATGACGAAGATGCGTCATCGTAAAATATTCATCATTTGATTTTTTTAAACCATATGGCTTAGTATGATCCAGCACAAATCTATAAAGTGAATTATGATTTCTACACTGCCTATTGTAGGTAACTTAAAGACAATTCAATAGTGGTGAGTAGATGAGTGAATTTTGATTTTTGGGTGAACTATCCCTTTAAGCAGGAAGTGGAAACCTCCTTGCAAGACTATCTAATTCCAGGATCCTAATTGGAGTGGTACCTTGTCCTGCTCTCCAATCAAGAAGAAAATTAGGCCTGTTAATTTCTAGAATTAACTAAATTGACTTGTTGTTATTGCTACTCTCAGCCTTAAAGTCCATGGACCGGACCACGTACTTTTAAACTTCCCTTTAAGGTTTAGTGTGTTACTCATGGTATTAGTATAAAGAAAATAAATACTTCCCCAGACAAATATCTATTGACTTCTACTTTTGTTTTAAAGAAAGGAAGGGAGGAAGATGGGGGTTCCCTGCATCTTTATCCTAACAAAAAATAAATAAAATAAATGATTAATTCATTCATTTTTTTCATTCAATAAAATAAATGATTAATTAATTAATTTTTTATGTTTTATTCAGGCAAGAGGTGGAGCAGCTGGATGCAGCAGGCAGAGGCAGGAAGTGACATATAAACTCCACTGCAGAGTTCACGTGATTTTACAACACCCAGCTCTCATCACCACAATCTCTCTTGACATCTTCGCCAGTGTGTTCTACGTGCGTGACACCACTTTTTCACTTTAAATGGGATTACATATCTTGGGAACAACTGGAGAGGGACATCTGCAAAGCTCTGCTTTGCTTGCTGCTACTGCAGCCCAATCCTGAATTAGCAGAAGATAGTGGAGTGACGATGGGGCATATTATTAAAACCTGATTCATAACTAGCCACTAGTAATCCTGACATCACCATAAATAGGTGGCATCTGGTACATCTTCTTTCACATACATCAATATAGTTCTTGAAATAGAGGGACCTCATTCATCAAGTTTCCTGTACAAATCACACAAAAAATGCTGTTTGATGAATATTTTTTTTGCATTTATGCAATATGCAAATTACATACTTAAGTATGTTTGAATTTGCACTTTAAAAAATATAGTCATCAAACTTCAAGTTGAAGTGAGTACATGTACTTGGTAAATGTGATAAAAATGCCACCATGGTGGGGGTATAAGATGGAGTTAAAACTTTCTCACAGGACAAGACTTACTTCTTGAATAGGTGCCGGTCCAGAGTTACGCCATCTGGTGTGTTCTTTAGAGTTTCTTTGAGGGTGTCCATACATTCCTTCAGCCGGGGATCTCCAGTGCGAAGCCCTGTGGCCTTTAGTGCCTTAATTAAGCAGATTAAAGTAAGTATATATATGTGTCAAAATACTGTACATTAGCTTATATGCAAAATTTTGGAAAACCCGTTTCCTTGTGTTAGTAAACTTTCTGACTAAATATATCATTTCTATAGAAGAAAGACTCTCACAAGTGTGTTCAGCTGCTGATTGAGTCACACATGTATTCTAAAGTTATAAAGCAATTGGACCTTTTAAAAAAGTCAAATTACTTTATTCTTCTATGCCTTAACTTCAGAAACGTAAAATAATTTAAGTCAGGAACAAGTTGAAATACCGAGACATTCTAAAACTTTTGACTGGTACTGTAGGGTAACAATCAAAAACAAAGACACATTCATGCTTGTGGAGCTCAGTGGTGTTTGGCCATTATGATAATGTTCATGAATGTACTTATTAATGTTGTCATCAACTAGCATCCACCACCAAGTTGAAGTGAAACTTACTGTGAGAAATTTATGAGCGGGAATTGTCTCTTGACCTTCTGCAACTGTGTAGAAGAGCAAATCCTCCAGACTGGGCAGGATGCCTGCATTTCTTTTTCTAGGTAAGAGAAGTGGTAGACAGACAGATGTAAGACAAGGCACCTCCAGTAGAGTGAAGTAACCTCAGCTAAAAGCACTTTGCTTAAAGTGTAAACAAAGTAGAGAAGCAGGTAAAGGAAATTAAAGTAGCAACAGGGTTGTCCTTAGGCACAAGCCACAATTGAGCCTATTCCCATCTGCCCTGCCAGAGTAAACACACTTATCTGTAGCTGCAGATACAGTCTTATCACGTTAGTGAGGTATTTCAATGACACATACTGGAAATATTCTATCCAAGTGTGAGTATAACCCACAGAGGTGTGTGTGTGTGTGTGTGTGTGTGTGTGTGTGTGTGTGTGTGTGTGTACAATAAAGAGGTCAAAGCCTTCATTATGCATGAACAAACTAATTACTTTCCTGTTGACAGGTCTCCCTTATGGGCACTGTTACTGTATGTTTCTATAAATGATGGACCTGAAGCTAATCAGGTAAAAAACTTTGGGATAAATTAGTAGATAGACACCCTGATCAGAATGAATCAATATTGACTACATTAAACAAGATACATCAACTACAAAACACAGTAAGTTTAAATGCAGATTTCAACAGCTGTGCTTTGAGGTGACCACATGCAAAATGTCCCAGACTTGCTGGCATAGCTACCTTAATTGAAAATGTTGTTCCTTGCTTTGTTCAATGGTGGGGATTTTTGGCATGTTGGACACTATTCATACCACTACATGACTGACTGCATGTTGGGAAAGGACATTTTAACAGTTTTTGCACCAACCAAGTTATGGGTCAAAACAAATGGATACGAACAGGATGAAGCATTACATAGCACCAATTTATTTAGAAAAATCTTTTCATCATAGTCAATAGTAGACACCAAATACCACCATCAGTAAATGCAGGTTGGTGCATGGTTACTGGTCATGCATTTCTGATATTTTGATACCATACACACAGTGCTGCCCAACTATGTGTCAACTCACGTGCTTGGAGGCAGTGTCTGGAGCATTGTTAGACTGGGCCTAAATTCCATGAATTCCCTTGTCTTTCCCCTGCCCAGCCCTTTAGGCTCTTGGATTAATAAAGCCAACATCACAGCTTGTTCACACACTGGCCATGACACAGCACAGAGATCTGCAGAGCAGCAAATTCAGCTCAGAACAGAACACTGTTAAAATTGTTATTTTTCAAATTAGGTGGTAACCTGTGGTTTGAAGATCTCATAGAAGGAGCAAGCAGCAGGTGTTAGGGCATTTGGTTTATGGACAACATATTTTTCATAAGTAGCCTTATGTTGCACCTGTGAGTATAAGAAAGGCAGGGAAATGTTTCCCAGGACACCTTCCTGCTTGCCCTGCTTATCAAACCAGAGTCCTTTTCGTTCCATAACTAGCAATAACCCTACAACTTCGGATTCCTCCCACATTTATACTCCTATCCCAACATCCTAGATTGTGCATTACATTAAATAAATAGTGCAATCCATTACAACCACTGATGGTAAAAAGGTGAAAAGCCAAACTCTAATCTTCCCATGGCAGAGTTTCAATGCTAACTCTGATACTCTCAGCGATGATAGATGTGTCGCCCATTAGCCACAGTAGACATGCGAAATTCCAGGATTCATTCTGCTCCTCCTTCTGGCTTCATCACCTCGTCCCTGCATCTCATCTCATTGGAACATCTGTTCCCCAGGGCAAACACTTCACATACAACCAGAGTAACAGCGACTGAACATGAGCAAACAAACCAAGATTGACTAAAATGCTGTCTGTCAGGCATGAGTAATTCAAAAGGGACCGTTCCTGGCCAAGCATCTGTTACTAAAAGAGCACTTCCATTCAGCAGAGTCAACAGGTACAACAGGTACACTACAGAGTCACAAGGCAACTAGCAAACTGCTGTGAACTGCATCATGGCATATTAACGTGTATGTTGAATAGAAGATAAATAATTGAGTGGAGAATTTAGCTAAGACAAAATCATATCTACCTGTGCACCTTAATTAAAGTGTTTGCCAAAAGGGACTGTAAGTTATTAATGTTTGTGTCTATAGCAGGAGTGTGTTTGTGTGTTGACTTTCTGCTCTAAATGTACAAAGGCCACTGGTAGCACTTTGTGCAGACACTGCAAAAAAAACGGGGAAATTAGGAAGTATTTGGGCGGTACAACGGATTTATGGTGGATATTTTTTAATTGAGTTGAAAGAACAAACACTGATCTCATGGTAGGAAATGTATCGAAATACATGAGTCACATATATTTATGTCATGTAAATTATGTCACAATATACTCCTATATAATACAATATATATTGTCATAATATAGCAATGCTGTGTATTTTGAAAATGTAAAAAAGAGAGCTTAAAAAACTTGTATACCACCTAATATGTACATGTGAACAGTGCCTTGGACACCTTGTTCTTTTCTGTATTTCTTCATTTAAAAATCTCTTCCTCTTTACTAACAGATGGCTCATTCCATTGGCAACTGGGTGCTCATTGGTATAATATGAATTTCCTGAAGGTGAGACGATACTTGTAACTAGCTTTTCAGTGATGTTTTGAGATACAAAGGGCCACAAATGATAGTGCACACTTGGAGGTCCCTAGATATCACACAATAGAAATGTGAATGCTGGCTAATAGAAGTTAACTGAAATAAGAATATCTGTCATTTAAATTTTTCTGGCCTGAGTGTGGATTTATCTTTAGCAATGTCACATCAGAAACTTAACACTAGGTTTAATTTCAGTAAGCAGTATTAAAGCTTGACATGAAGTGTTTTTCACTTTCTGTATGTGTATCAAAATATGTCATTTGTGTGTTTTTTATATCTTTATTATATTCACGTCCACCCACTAAAGCTGCAACTGATAACATACCTATCTCTGGCTATATGGTTGTGAATCAGTACAAAGACTGACAGTTTCAATAACACTATTTATCTTGAGAATAGGTGTGCAATAATTCTGAAACCGAAACAGCAAAACAAAGGTCAACAAACTTACTGGAACCATGATACCCCAGATTTGCAGAAGCAGCCTGTTGTACTCTCATTACCCAGTCTAAGATAGGGCTGGTAAGTCGTTTTTAAAACAGTTTTTATAATATTATACTCTTCACGTCCAGTAGTCAGAAAAAAAGCCAGTGTCTGTGACCCTTGTGCAACATGGAAATGATTTAATTTGCATCGAGTGAAATGATTGGCTTGTGTACCAGCATGGCTGTCACTAACCAACCAGCCTGCGTGCATCCTACCCGTGCTCAATCTGTAGTTCTCCGGACAATTAGCAGGCCACAGATGTGGAGAGACACACACTTCTGAAGCAGAGACGATTAACAAGAAGTTATCAAGAGAGTCACGGAAAAGTCGGCCTCTACCAGTTGTCAGGCAGTGCACCTTCATGTGTTTTTTGAGAGCTTACCTTTGACAAGAGGTTTAAATTTTTTCAAAATATAGCATGATAATGTTAACTATTACAGGATTACCCACCCAACCTCTAACACTCAAACATAGTAAATCATGAAACTGACATTCTCGTCTAAGTAAGGGCAAGCTTTATATTTTGTAGAATTTAAAAATTCCACAGGCATGTGTACACTGCAACTGAATGCATCAGTGACTATTTTGCTCCAATCATGACTGAGTCATCACGCCTGTAGTCAGGTTGGTAAATTGAGATGGATAATAATAACCCTGTGATTGCAAATGGAGAGTCGTTACACACCCACTTGTAAATTATCATCAGTAATCTGACAGAAACAATATTTTCGTCCCATGTATCAAGACGTAATCTAACCCATGGATTGTGAATCATAGGCCTAGTATTGATAACAGAAAGTTCCCAATCCAAGTTTCAGTGTCTGTACATGTGAACACATATCATAGTATAGTATACACTCTACTTGTCAAATACATTTTAATGTAACCTTTTTAAGTTCAATGTAAAGATGTTTATGCTGCACTGACCCATGGGAGTGTCTGACGCACGAGGAGCTGCAAGGCATGATCAGACAGTAGCAGCATTCCTACTCAAAGCCATTTTCTACTGCAAGAATTTGGGGCCTCCCCCCACTGGAACTTTTAAATATGTTGTGGCAGTTTGGTAATAGGTTCTTCTTTTCTCTGAATGGCCTCATTTTCCCAAATACTCATGATCTCAGGACCTGGAATATGCACAAATCTGTACCTTGGAAGAGTGGAAATTTAGCTCTCCAGGTATTTGTCTGCAAAATGCTGTGGGTTTGGGTGTTGGGGTAGGGCCAATGACAAAAACAGCACATATGCCATGTCTCATTAAGTTCCCCCAGTGGAGAGGTGTTATTAGAGGCTGGAACCCCCCTGAGGGGACCCTGTCAATGTATGTTTGTATTCCTGACTCTACTTTAACTTGAAGTAAATTTGTCCTCCTGGTCCATATCTTAACGTATCATTTCTAGGTCAGCAAACAGCCCGGTAATTTCAGCTGCACTGAGATCATAGAAACTCCTTCCAAAAGGAAACACACAGCACAGACAGCTAAATGTCAGCAAGGAATACAGATTGACATGTAAACTGACAGATAAGGATCACTTAAATCCAATGCTGGTGCTTCTCCATACATAAAAATGGCACATGGCAGGGAATGCTAATAAATGCAAATCTTCTGCGTGGAAAACCACATGAAAAATACTGTGGATTGATTTGACTTAAAGGAGGCATTACATTTGTATTACTTTATTCTGTATTTATTACTGTCACGTGAACCCTCTGAAACCACAGAGTGGATGTTTAGTCTAGTTACTGTTGTGCTGGGGCCAGAGAGCAGACTGTCATTAGTTCTCCACAGGCAGCCAGCTCTCCTTCACTGACAGTGGAAGGTCACAGTAGAAACCATTAGAATCCAGAAACACCATTAATCATTCTTACGATCAAAATGAGAGAAATCAAATACGCTTGGGAGGTCTGCTTCCAGTCTGTGTCTTGAATTCTTGAAAGTCTTATATATTTTTGACCTGCTCGCCTCTTGGACGCGGATGTTTTAATCTTTCACCTCATCCCTGACCCCGCAGCAGGCCCGTTTCACCTTCTAATAACATTGATCTCTATACTAACACGTTGATAACATAAGTGACCTGAGGCAAAAACTAAAACACACAGTGAACTTCGTTAAAGTTACTGTGAGAATGTGAAGGAGTCGTGTTTATCGCCAGATGGAACAAAGCCAGTGAAGGCAGCAGCAGTGTGGACAAGCTCCTGCTATTCGACCGTTAGAGTTAGCTAACTGTATGATACACACTTGGGTGTTGGGTCATTTGGTCTGTGAGCACAACGTGTGTGTGTTGTTAGAGGGAATGTGTTGAGTTTGTGAAGCAGCTATGTTCTGCTATAACATTAGCCAGGCACGTTACATCCGCTTGCGCGCGCCCGTGTCGTAGCCTGTATATAAAGGGCCTGCATGCGTCATAAGTCGTCAAAACCGCATCAACACGTCATGGAGTCAAACAGTTTGGCCCCAAAACAGAGTACTTGGAACCTACTTGTCGCTGTCACCATCTTTCTTCAGCTGCTCGTCCGGTTCCACGGCGCCCTCCGTCTTCACGCAGTACGAGCGGTATTGGGTGGCGCAGGGCGCGGTGCGGAGCGCCGGCCGGTGCGCGGCGGCATGGAAGACCTTCAGTGGGGAGGACGCAGCTCGGGCATCAGCGGATGCGGCGCCGGAGCAGCAGTGGCGGGTCGGTAACCAGCTCCTTCCACTACAGCCGGGCAAGGGGCGCTTGAGGGCGGCTTCAGGCAACTGCTTCAGCACTGTCGAGAACCTAAAATGTAACATCTCAATCCTGTGGAGCAATGGGAGAGAAAGTCGTGTTTCAGAGGCGGTTACAGGTGGAGAGGCGTTCGGTGTCTGAGCGGCGATGACTCACACGCGCCGGAGTCTACACATAAATAGACTCACGTTCACGCCCCTGCCTCTCTCATTGGTGGATATTAACTGAGGTGGGTCTTTGACGATGACGTAGCAGGCTCTCTTGTTCACTATTGGTGCGTGTTCCTGTCAATTTGTGCTTTTTTGACCAGCCTTCTCAGATAGCCTGGATATAATGACATCCTGTATTAGACTGGTTATTCTGCAATCAGCTGGAACTGTTCAGCTATAACTATCATTTAGACTTTGATCCGATAGTGACAAGTTACAGCTCCTTGGAAACACACCATATGTGAAGTTATATATGTATTTAGAGCCAGTATTCGACCTTGTACTACCATGTACTACCATGTACTACCTGTATTTCCTCAGCAGCTCTTGTAGCTTTTTAGTGAAATGAAATAGTGAAATTCATGTTTTGAGATACACAAGACCATCAATGAATGTTCACACTTGGAGGTCCTTAGATATCACACACACACACACACACACACACACACACACACACACACACATGGACTCAAGGGTTAATAGATGTTGACCGAATTAAGCATATCTGTCATTTTAATTGTGCTGGCCTGAGTGTGGATTTATCTTTAACTTAACACTAGGTTTAATTCTCAGTCAGCAGAATTAAAGCGTCTTTCACTTTCTGTTTGCCATGTGTATCAAAATATGTCATTTGTGTGTTTGTGATATCTTTATTATACTCACGTCCACCCACTAGAGCTGCAACTGATAACATACATACATCGGAATGCGATCATTCTAAAACCGAAACAGCAAAAACAAAAGTCAAACTTACCATACATGACAATGGAACCATGACACCTGTTGAGCCTGTTGAGCTCCTATTACTTGGTTAATGTATCAAAACCCACATTTCAAGGTAGGGTTGGTAAGTTGTTTCTAAAACACGTTTGTGTTATTATGCTCTTCACGTCCCAAGAGCCATTCATAAATAAAGTCGTCAGAAAAAAAAAGAGAAATAAAAGCCAGTATCTGTGAATGGAAAAAACCAAGACTGCGTGGATACAACGAGACCCTGTAGCAGTTATTCTCTAAAGGCCAATAATCGTTATTATGACTATGATCATTATAAAGTCGCTAACTATGACCTTTACATTGAAATGTTTTCTTTAAATAAAAGTGTGTTACTACGACTCCACCTGGCTTTTTGCCTCTCTATCTCTGATACTGATAAGAAATGAAAACTTGCAGCAGTGTTGACACGTTCAGCTGTACAGCCATTTCACGCATGTGTCTCTCAAACATGTATATTTCTCTCATTTATTTAAATTACATTACGTTACAATTATGATCCATACTCACTTCCTCCCATTAAGTCCAAGAACTTTCTGGAACTATCAGAGGAAGCGATGATCTAATCCCCTCGTACAGTCTGTCAGGCCTGGTTTAGGCTCATATGCCACGTACCCTCAACAATGTATTAAATGAATATTACATATAATGTGTTATAATATTATAAAACGTCCAAGCCCACAATGTACCTCTCTTGAAAGAAAGAGGTTAAGGATCAGGATCCTCCCATAATCTGGGCGGGATGCGTATGAACCATACAGTCTATGGTATGAACCAGGAAGCAGGGGCGCCTGACAGACTAAACTCAGGGCAGCAAATCCCCCTCCTCTGCAGGAGCTCTCCACGTCTCCACCGTGGGGAAACGTCGCACTGAGAAGTTGCCACGAAAGCACAGCAGCATGATGTGGAGAGTGTTGACCTGCACACTGTGCGTCTTTGTGTCCTCACAGCTCAGCCTGTGGTGTGCCCGGGTCGCAGCAGCCGAGCTGGACACCGAGGTGAAGACCGAAGTCTTGTTTAAGCCCGAGCAGTGCACCCAGAGGAGTAAGAGAGGAGACCTGGTGAACGTGCACTACGATGGATTCCTCGCCCAAGATGGGTCTCAGTTCTACTGCAGGTAGGTGGATGGGCCAAAGGAAAAAAAACGTGGCTGCAGCTGATGGATGTTATCTTTGCAAACAGCTTGATATCGTTTGAAAGTTTGAAAACAAGTTGACAAGGGTCCTTGAGTTTCTATTTCCAGGCCCTGGTCTGAGTGATTCTTCATCTTTTTTTGTGTTATGAAATTGTAAAAGCTTTTATTTCTGTGTCACAGATATTAAGTTTTTTAATAAGTAGGTGGATTGGGTAGGGGGGGTTGTACTTTTTGTAGTTATGGGCCTACTTTAACCCTCCTGAGTATCCATGGTCCAATAGTATCCATGATGAGAATCTGTCCATACCAGCTCAGACTCATTCAAAACGCATGTCTTCCCTGTAAATCCTTGTGATTTGAAAACGGACTCACTGGCAGGATGTTGTGTCTTTTTTTGTATTATTTCTGTTTCAGTCGATCAGACAAAACTGGGCACCCTCAGTGGTTCGTGTTGGGCATCGGACAAGTCATCAAGGGCCTTGATATTGGGATGATGGATATGTGTCCTGGAGAGAAACGGAAGATAACGGTTCCTCCTGCCCTGGCTTTTGGAGAGAAGGGCAAAGGTAAGTAAATGCTGCAATGTTTTCCCCACATTATAGTTGCAAAATAGCACTTTGTCTCTTACGCGCTAATGGGATTTGAACTTTGTCATGAACTGTAGCTCATATATATTATTTCTATTAAGACGGATAGAAAAACCTATTACACGGAACCATTCAGGCAAGTGCATATAACAGGTTATGGGGCTTCCATCATTCTCAGCTTGGTTTGTCTTCAATTTCACATATCACTGCCAAACCACAGTGTGACAACAATTACAATACATGGAAGCCTGTCATTGAGCAGACAAAAGCAGAAAAAGATCCGGGCACATGGTTCAAGAGGAATGTACTTAGTCTCCAAATTAATCATAGGTGTGTTCTGAGTGTAACATGCGATAAGCCGAACAGAGTGCCATCTCCCATTTCTTTTAAAAGAGTGGATGTCTGAATATGCATTCGATGTTACAGTTCCAGCTTTTGCCATCTGATATAGCTGCTTATCTTCAATTGATCTAAACATCATACAGCAGCTGCCACACTTGCAGAAGAATCCATTGTGTAAACCTTTTTAGAAAAAGCAAGTTTCTTATACATGCTGGGGCTGTACCTAAAAGGTTTCAGTTTACCACATAATGAAACCAAACATGTCCTTGCACAAATGTTCCAAGTTACTTCCTCTACAAGTAGCTTTTGATAGCTCACTGAAATGAACTGGTCTGTGGCCACTGGGGACATAGAAAACCATCAGAAATTTGCAGCAGTATTATTCATTTACGGTCAATGAATCCTACTAATACAGTTTTAAACTCGATTACCAAAGTCACTGTCCTGTTTTTGTGGTGGAAGAGCCACCGTCATACTGTCCTGTTTTTTTTTTCCAGCACTTTAATTGAAAGAGCATCACACCTCTTGCTACTCAACCGTCCATGGCATGTTCTGTAAGCATGCTCTAAGGTTTGAAGGTCTCTGCTTCATTTCTTTCTTGCATGCATTGGTGCAGCTTTCAGAAAACTAACAGCTAACAGTTTTTAACCTGCTATTTCCTACAAACCTGTTAACGTTTGTTGATGCGCTATGTTAGGATCTGATTGTTAATTTACCCATCCTGGGACTCTGTGTTTCAAGTTTCTTTTTGTCTATCAAAGAAATGCTTTTGTTTCCCACTCACCAGTTTTATACAGTTATAACCATTAAAGGCAGTGCTCTTGTTAACAAAGGTAATGTTTCAAATCACTTATTGAGCTTAATGCTTTGTAGAATCTTGCACTTGAAACCCTGTTTTTTATTTATGTGGCTTAGTAGCTGTTCATCACAAGTTGATCACAGAATCTGAAAACACAACTGAACTTCCAAATACACAACACCAATTCTTTCTGAAATGCAGTCAAATTAACTTCACAACGTAGACAATGATTAATTATAAGTTTAAGTTGTAAGTCCTGATTATGGTTTTATAAGGGCATGCAGTCTTTTACAATTTAAACGTTTTTTTTCTCTCATGCTGAAATAGATCCAGTGCCGCCAAACGCTACAGTGGTGTTTGAGGTGGAGGTCTACTCAGTGTCCAGGGGACCACGTAGTATGGAAGCTTTTGGAGAGATGGACCATGATAAAGACAAAAGTCTCACAAAGGCTGAGGTAACTCAAATTTAGAAAATATGAAAAAGGGCAAAAGGGACTTTATTAACGGCCGCAGTAACTGTTGTTGTCTGGTTTGATGTAACATAGTATTTAGGAATATGCAACATTTTTGTAAAATTTTTGAAAGTTACAACATAATTTTGTGACTTTCAAAATTAAATTCATGATTCACTGACTCGGAGGTGGGAGATTGTTGCTGCTTTCATTCCTCACCCTAAACACCTGTTATTGCACTATGAAACTTTGGTGAGCAGGTACGTTCTCCTGTGAGAAATGTGGAACAGAGTAATGCTGAACTGTAGATCAATTAAAAAGACCACAAGTCATTAAACACCAAAGTTTGTTTCCAATATTCAGTGAGGAAACGTTTAAAATATAGAGAATTCTAAAAAAAAGAGTTTGGTGTATTTGTTGCAGTAGCAGCTCTTCTGGTTCAGGAAGCCGGGGATCATGGGTAATATCCACTCAGCAGTTGTGTTTCAGTCTTTATATACAGTCTATGGTTTCAGTTCAGTTAGTGGGACTACACAGTCAGAAGTCCTCACATTAATAGACTTAGTTTTTTCTCTGCATGAAAACCACTTAATCGCTTGGACAAGAAGCCCAGCAGAATTAGTCATTACATGTGGCTGCAGAGGGCGCTGCTGCTTAGTAAATCTTACGTTTACCTGCATGTGTTTGCAGGGTTTTTTAAAAAGGTAAACCCACAAAAAAGACGATAGACTTTCCCACTGCCAGCAGAGGAGTTTGCCTTTCAGTTTTTTCCCTGAGTTGATTCCCACTGCAGACAAAAGGGTGTTTGTGGGTTTTTTGACTAGTGGAAAAGAGGCTATAGTGTTTGGCTTTAAATCACAAGGCTGTTTAACTGAGTTTAACTAAGAAATACTGATAAAATACTTTTTTCCATTCATGTACAGAATAAAGTTGAGAAAAAAAAGAATTATTGCATGAAATAAACTGAACTGAAGTGGTGCTTATAGGCTTATTTCATACTTATGGAGAGAGCCACACCAGCAGTTTCAGGCTGGTTCACATCTGCTGAGTGAAGATTATGTAAGCCCACAGCTTCCTAGCTTTAGATAGATACTTATCATACATATGCAAGAGTTGTAGTATTATTATCTTCCTAAAAAAAAAGTAAATATGTTTATTTCCCAAAACATAATGCTGTTTTTTTCACTACACTTATGATGTCAAATGTTCAATTAAATTAGCACAAAGCAACAATAATCCTGGAGTTCTGAGGCCTTGGGACAGGAGGTCATAACAATCTTGAGACAAATACATTTACTACTTTTCTGTATTACATAAAATAACAGGCTATCCAAATATAAAGAATGAACAAATACAACCCAAAGTAACCTCACCTACTTTCCTCATAAAGATGAAAGGCCAACCTGATTACAGTTGTAAACATTATACAAGGACATAATTAGGCTATAAATCACTATAAGACCTTATTCAATGACCATATGAAGGACCATATTAATAAAACAAATCCCACTTCCTGCAAACCAGAATAATCAGGATTTAAGATATTTGTCATAATAGTAACCAAACAAAAATAATGTAGTTGCCTAAAAGTTGGTGGTTATGATGTTATCTGGATTGTTGATGACACAGGTGTTACCGAGGTGAACAACCTGCTATCAACACCACAGTATAATTTATTACCTCTGTGATATGTAGCTAGAAGAGCAAAATAGGAACATATTATAGAAAACAAGTGTTGCAAAACATATGTCTGTTATTTATTCTATATATGTGACCGATGAAGTGTTCCTCTATCCTCAGGTAAAAGAACATCTGAAACTGTCGTATGAAAAAGGAGGGAAGCCACGCGACGACGCTTTCTATGAGAAGATCATGGCCGATATATTCCAGAAGAGTGACCAGGACAAAGATGGGCTGATCAGTGCAAAGGAGTACAATATTTATGAACACGATGAGCTCTAATCTCAGTAATAGTTGATCTTGTCATTGCTGTTCATAAAAAAGTAGACATTTAGTTAAAGATGAAAAGGTGAAGGAAGAAGCCACCCTCAGATTATCTTAAACTGTATGTTTGTGGTGTGTTTATGGTCTACCCACTTCAGTGTGCCTCTTCCCATCTTCTTCAGTTAGTGGTTGGAATTCCGGAAAATTGAAATCTCTTTCTGTTCTATAGTTGATTTCTCTTCATATCAGGTTTCATTTGTTCAATAGCAACAATATTGAATACAAGTCCCACTGTGAATATTACAATGAGACTCTTGTGATCGACTGTAGCTTGGATTGTATCTTATCCCTAAACAAAGTCATGTAAATGTAAGAATGCCAAACACACCCATAGAAAATTCTGGATAATCACCCATTAGCTTATTTTTAGATAAGCTCTCTGAAAAAGCAGACAGGACTCAATTTATTTGACGTCATTCAAAATAACTTTTCACACCAGCAGTCACGCCTCTCAGTATATGTATGCATGTATGAACATCTGTGAAAACATTTACTTTTTACTAAATGTTAGTATTTGCAAAGTTTTATTCTTCAAGTTATGTCCTTTCTCATTCAATGTGCAGCACATAGTGGGCAAACCACAACATTGCACAATGCTGTAAAGTAATGTAAGAACGTAACATGACTGTCATGTGAGAATCTGAGATGTTGTTTATGTCGATACAGGAACAAACAGCTCCATTTCTCCTTTCTTCCTGTGGACTTCCTGCCCTCTAACCCGCAGCACTGCACCAGCCTCTATAGTATGTCCAGTATAAACAAATGGAAATTAAAGGAAATGCGGCTGTGATTTCAAGATAATGGATGATAAAAATGCACATGGTTTGCATATGTGTGGAAAACTACAGCACATTACATGTCCCATGTAATTTACATTTTCCTCCTTGGTTGCAATCATGTATAAATGCGCTTTTTGTATTTAACATCAAGCTGACCTGAGAGGACAGACATGGTAAACAAATGATTGTTAATGTGAAATGTTTTTCTGATCATGTTCTGCTTAGGGTTTAAACCTATGGACCCTGATGAAACCAGGTTTTCTGTTCCTCATGTTCACTCTGAATAAAGCAGGCGTCTGGTGAATAAAAATAAAAGCCCATCATCCATGAGCCTCTGCGATTCACCATGGCAACAGGTATATAAACAGCACAGCTTCCTTTTGAATCAAGTAAAGCTGGACAGTGAGTGTTTGGCATTATTGTACATTGATATCTAAAAAAGTGTAGCACTTTAGCAGTGAAAGAACCTGAGCTGGAGTTATTTATTAAGCCAGTAATTAATTATGAGATTTTTAACACAATCACATTTCCTTCATGGTAGTCTACTACATCCCCACATTATCCAGCAGACTTTAATTTCTTTGTGGCCAATAAGCACTGAAGCATCCAATAAATTAATGGATGCTGAAATCCTAGAGCTACATTCAATGTTAAATTTCGGCTGGCAGCAGACAATGTAGAGAAGAAGTTTCTAGATCAAAGATTGAAGCCTCATTAAAAAAGTCTTGATCCACATAGTTTAAGCACGATTTCAACATGAGCTCATTCGAATTAAAATGCTTTTAAAACACATTCAGACCGTGCAGCCTATATTTAAATTATATCTAGTCCAGTTTTTTCTTTTAAGCTGCAGTACAAACATGCTGACTCAGAAACGTCACATGATCTACAACATATGACTATGATAGAAATGTTCCATTGGTGCAAAACAAAAAACCACGAGAAACAATTCATCATAGATCACTCATGTTCCTACAACTCCAGATTTAAAAAAGAAAACTTTTAATAATGATAGGTAAATGTTTCAATGCAGACTGACGAGGATTAAGCCACAATGTGTTATATCTGAATGTGAAGATCTAAGTCTCTGTTGTTGCATGACTGATCGATCATAGAAGAGGTAATGTTAGTAAGGACAGGTAGCAAACTCATGTCCAACAGGAATTTCAATCTCTCTAATCTTTAAAAGACAAAAATAAATGTTTTAAAATTTTTAATTAATATGCGAGACAGTAGTTCATAGACAGGGGGGCTGTCGGCACTGCACAGTTGGAGGGTGGGGAGGAGTGTGTCATTATATTCTCCACTTTTTTTTTTTACAGTGATTCAGAAACCCCACTGCTAATTCAGAACCAAGTTCAGTTTTACATGTTGTCCAACCAAAATCAATAACTTTAAAACATGGACATTTCTGGAGTTCAAACCAGAAACTAGGCCAATAAATGTAAAGGTATATATACCCCATAATGACAGATAAGTAATATCTGTTCCACTAGAGAAGATTAAAGGTTAATTCCGTGGAATCCTGTCTTCCCCTCCTGCATGATGAGCGCACATGCAGAACACTTGTGGTTGTTATTAAACTGATCTACTCATCCAACCTCACAGGTTTGTGAAATGTAAAGCCCTAATTCAAGCGAGCACGGTCCAGATTTTTCTGTAATTTCAGTTAAACACAATAGATGAAAACACAAAAGATCCACTTTGATGAATTTGATTCTCTGTTAAAAAAATAACTGAGATGTGTAACAACACATTCATTAATAAATATCTGTGTGCTTTATACATATACAAAATATACAAATATACACAGTATATTCTTTGAACTGGGGAAAATCCAGGTGTTACAAACTTATTGTTCGTACAGGACAGATACACCAGTCTGTCAGTTGGGGATCTTGAGTTTGACCGAAGGCAACCTGATCTCTGCTGCCTTCACCTCCGCTGACATATCAACACCCAGCGGCGCCCTGGAATGAAACGTTTATGTGAGCCAGTGTCGTTCTAATCAGCAGTGACATTAAGTGGACCAGAATTGTTGGGTCTGGTTAAATATGACATTTTTTAAATCTTCAGTGACTTACTTAGGCTCGTAGCGGACGTCTACATTTGGAGGCAGTATTCCTTTCCTTTCTCTCAAGCGTTCAACACCGTTCCTGGTTTAAAAAAAAAAAAACAATAAAAAGGAGACAAATTCCCACATTAAATCTGATCCTAAAGTCAGTTTCACAGTTAAATCTTTCACTGATGATCCTGACAAGACACACACCATGCAATCATCACTCCGTTGTCAGTGCAGAATTTGGGTGGAGGACAGAGCAGGCGCAGTCCTGTCGTCTCAGTGATAATGGTCAAAGCCTTGCGGATATACTGGTTGCTTGCAACTCCTCCAGAAAGCACCTAGAAAAAAAGAGTAACTGCTGAAAGCTTCAAACCTCAATGTTGTTTCATTTCATGAAGCCGGTCTTATTCTATAATGGTCTTACTGTCAACACAAATTCCTTTTTTTTAACGTGAGCACTGGTGTTTTAAGTGTTACTCATTCAGGAGGGAAAAGTACATTTGTTGAGAACTATTTTGAACATTTAAGTGACTATATAAGCCCTTTGTTAAATACTAGCCTCATTATTTAAGATGACATATATTGCACTTCTGTCCATCCTGGAAGTGTATTAGTGTGGTTAAGGACAGAGGAGGTAAATTATGAATAGTGAATATGGGCTCTACAGATAATATTTGATTGATTGATTAGCAGATGTTTAAATTAGAAGCAATCTAGAGTCCATTTTTATTTTCCTTCCTCATCCTTGTACAAACAGCGTGATAAGAACTGAAGTCAAATCTAAATCTTAGACTAAAAACAGTGCAGGAATGTCAGATTTATCAACTTGTTTTCAATTCAGTACGAAGAGGAGTAACAAACTCACCAAAGTTGGACTGCTTGATGGCAGCAGGCCGTTTGCCTTACAGAACAAGATGGCACGATGTGTTCGCTTTGCAAGATGAGAGGCGACAGTGTGCTGTGTGGCAGCTGCAATGTCATTCACACATGACAGCAGTGTCCCCTGTTCTACTCCTACAGACAGAAGAAAGAAGACGTAAAAAGGTTTGACTCAGGAACTTGAATTACATCATTTTCAGATATGTGTGTAAATTAAAAAAAAGCTGATTAAACTTTGCCAAGGTTTTTGCTTTAGTTTCTCTTCATATTTTTCCCCTGGTCATGTACAACAGTTATAAATTAATTGATTTATTAAATGATACTATGTTTGAAATTATACAATATTTAAGTAAATGATCTCCTGAGCCACAGCAACCCGTATAGTAGAATGTATGGATTTACAAATAGAATAACTACTCCATAAGTCATTTACTGTTTCCTGAAAATGTTTATCAACTGGAAGTAAACCATTCATGAGTCCTCATACCTTCCTCTGTCTCTTTTTTTATTATCATCATTGTGACTTGATTCCGTAGTCCAGCGAAAGAGAAGCAGCAGTCGTGAGTTTGACCCATGGGTGTTGTGAAAGCGAACCTCCTCCTGTCGCCGTTCTTTGCAAGAAGCTCGATGGCTTGTCCTCCACTAAGAGTGGAGCACTGTGGGTGTTTGATGAGGGACAAACGTCTCGCCACCTGTGAATTTACAAAAAAAAAATGTGTTGCGTGCAAGATCACAAACTGAGCACCGTGACCAACAACAACAAATGCCTTATGTTAGTTTGACATTGTTACTTTATCCAGGGTATCCCCTGGAGCTTCATCCAGAGTGTGACCCAGAAGCAGAAAGTCGTCCACCCCTCGGGCCACGGCGAGAAGTGAGTGACCACCAGAGACGAGCAGGACCAGGAAGGGGAAGGCAACGGGATGAAGCATCCTGACGGTCAGGGCGTGGGCTTCCATGTGGTGGATGGGGATAAACGGTTTGTCGTGTTCCCGCACGAACCTCTGACTGAACTCGAGGCCGATGCCCAAGCTCAGGGCCAAGCCCGGCTTCACCGTGGTGGCCACAGCCGTGAGCTGGCTCGGGTCCACTCCGCTTCTCTCCAGAGCCTCCTGGACCACACGCTTTATGTTTTCCCTGTGGAGCTGCTGTGCCACTGTAGGGATGATGCCACCAGCCCTGCAGCATTTGAGAGAGACAAGCATATCTGAGCAAATCCCCGAATAATGTCCATGTGACGTGAACACGGCCCTGACACCCACCTCAGGTGAACTTCTTTCTGTGAATGCAGAGACTCTCCCAGGATTTCACCTTTCTCATCCAACACAGCAGCTCCAGTGTCATCACAGCTGGTCTCGATGCCCAGCACCAGTCTGGAAGAGAAGACTTTTCCAGATGAAGGAGGGCTCCACACTGTGCGTCTGCACCGCAGCAGCCTCGGCGCACTCCTCACTGTGGAAGGGAACATGGTCCTGGACCTTGTGTTCGCTTCTGAGGGTTAAATCAGTAGAATAAGTCAGGGTGACCTCTCCACGGTCCCGATTCAAACCTCAACTACGAGAAACAAACTAAACCTGACAAGGAATAATATTCCGAAAGCATTGCGCCGAGTCTGACAGCAACAAACCAGAGGGAGATCAAATACGGTGCACGGGTCGACCCGTTCTTCCTCTGACGTCCGGCCGCGTCACATGTAAATAATTCCGTGCAGAAGCAAATTCGTGACTTTAGATTAAGTGCAAATATCTAAACAACACGGACGATACAAAGAGATAAAGACACATCATTCAGTTATTAGAAACATGTGCTTTTTAAAAACAAATACAATGAATCTCAATATCAATTCAGAGAACAACCTGGGAACAAAAAGGTTTGGAGGCCTTGTTTTAATGGGACATTTTAATCCGGTGCACAAGAGAAGCGTGGAGTCGCTTTACGAATGAACGATATTTGTCTTCAGTGTTGATCTCATCTAAAAGGTAAAGTAACATTAGGTGGAACGTGGTGCTCAAACTATATCTGTGTTACGTCTCTGTGGCAGTGAGTTGAACTGATTCTTCAAACACGACATTTCGATCGTGGGGCGAAGTGACGTGTTGGCGTTTGAGGGATCAGAAAGTGTTGTTTAAAGGCAACACAATCATATAAGACCAGGTATAATGAATCAAGACATTGTGGCATCGCTGCCTTGATTCAAGGTATCATTAGGAAACAGGGACACGAGGAATCACCACAGAAACATTTCCAAAATAAACACATGTTATTGGAATAAGCGTTACATCGATTAGATGGACGTGAAGGCATCATCTCCACTCGAATATCGTTTATTCATTTCCTCTGTCAGTGAACTGGTAATGTGTCATGTTCCTGTATGAGTGACTGTAAAGGATGTCAGGGAGCTAACAGCTGCTAATGCTATCACCACAATGCACTGCGGCGGCTGGAGAGGGACGTTCTGACAGATTTGAATTATTCTGTCGTTCATTACATATATTGTGCATTTTATTAAAATGATTGCAGCAGTTATCAGAAGTGTTGGTAGTAAATTTAATTCTCTGTCACCACCAGGGAGCTTAGCCAGCATGGACTTCTTTGAGTTTTAACAAGAATATTATATGTTGACTTTTCTGAAGGAGACATGGAACACCCAACTTGTTTTGTGGAGGGAATGAAGCAGTTTGTCGTACTTGATGCTCCACCCACAGTGCGTTACATCCCAGATTTCATATCAGAGGAAGAGGAGGCCTACCTTCTACAGCACGTCTACAAGTCTCCAAAGACCAAGTGGACTCAGCTGTCGGGCCGGAGGCTGCAGAACTGGGGAGGGTTACCACATCCCAAAGGTATGCTGCCGGAGAAAATTCCTGACTGGCTCCAGACGTACTGTGAGAAAATCTCCTCTCTCGGTGCATTCAGCGGGAAAACAGCCAATCATGTGTTGGTGAATGAGTATAAAGCAGGAGAAGGGATTATGCCTCATGAAGACGGCCCTCTGTACCACCCCACCGTCACAACCATCAGCCTGGGCTCCCACACCCTCCTCGACTTCTACAGGCCCGTCGGCAGCCTGGAGGGCGATGCACCGGAGACAGAGGAGAACCGCTACCTGCTCTCCCTGCTGGTCAAGCCACGCAGTCTTCTGATCCTGCAGGACGACATGTACGAGCGTCTCCTTCATGGCATCCAGGCGTGCATCCAGGACACGCTGACGGACAAGGTGGTGAACCTGCAGGCGGCCGGTGCCCTGCCAGGGGAGACACTTACACGAGGCACCAGAGTGTCACTGACTGTAAGACATGTGCCTAAAGTCATAAAGACAAAGCTTCTACTTGGAAGGAAATGATGAAAGACTGTGTGGTGACCTGATAGGTTGTTAGAGTGGAAACATACCATCAGTGGACATATTATCCAGACTGCTCTCTGAGTTAAGTCACAGGTTTATAATTGAGCCAAATGTTTGCTATTTTCACTTGATTGTCAGAAATTCTTGATAAATCTGCTTTGTGCAAAAGCACAACAAATATAAATATATATATATAAAATAGATATATTACTATACTGGTTGTGCTTGGTGTATGTATGTATTTTCTTATTTATGGATTTACTTTACAAAAGAGCTCAACCAGTCTTTGTTTGTCAGCTGATGTTGACTTTGCACAGATACTGTGTTTGCAGTCTGATCTGCACATCCCATCACAGCTCCTTGGTAGAGGGGAATTTGTTGTGTGGTGTCTTTCATGGCTCGGCACAGACAGATTTGTCAAGTTTGAGAAATAAGAAACACCAGTTGCACTTGTAGGAAATGTAGGATCCAGTCTTTTTCAGCTTTTAGTGGCTAGAAGTCAGGACTTCTCTGCTTCTGCTGCATCAGTTATGTTGATCATTCTTTCTTTAAATCTTTCTTTCTGATATGAATTTATCAGTATCATTAATTTTATGCTGTCCCCTCCAACTCAACTATGTTCAGTTCAATCCGATTAAACAAGAAATCACATTTTTTTAAACTAATCTATAACTTTCAATATCAGCTGGGTTTTACAATAAAGATCTACTTTGCACAGTAAAACTTTGTGTGTTTGTTTTCTTTCATGCATCAAATGCAACACAGCTGTTTCATTTGATACACAAAACTCCTGCTGACAACTAGAAAATGTATTCTATAGCAGTGGTCCATCATATATGTCACTTATTAAACAGTTTTATAAGCCCACTGCTATCTCTGAAGTTCCAAATGGTGTTTTTCATGCTATGACTCATCAGATCTTTATTAAAATACAAAACATTCAAAGCCACAGTGCAAAAGACTTGAATTGAACCAGTTGCATCATATATTTCTGCCTTGGTTTGTGTGGAACACTAGAGAAAGTCTTTGTCATCATGTGCTCTGCCCTGCAAACATGCTAACTTTGTTTCACTTTGCTGTGAAATCATATTTCACAGGAGGACGCTAAAAAGATGGAGCCGCAAGTGAAACGCCAGAAAGTGTCGGTGTGCGACACTGACTCCTGGACCGCTTACCCCGTACTTTCAGATGAGCAGTCACAAGACGTCGAGTTGATGGAGGCGTTTGCTGCACCCATTGTCGACAAGAAGAAGACATCTCAACTTGTCAAGGAGCTGAATAGCCTCTACCCGCTGAACGGCCTCCAGCACATCAAGAGGGTGCGGGCTTGCAAGGACAAGGGCAGCCGTCACCCTCTGGAAGTCCTTGTGTGCCTTGTTAGTGATGCACCAGACATGAAGGTGGTGAGCATCGACTCTCTGCTGCCCTCAGAGGGAGTTAGACATGATGGATTAGGTGAGCCTTTTGTGGTTAAGGTCCCTTCACGTCCCCCCTTGACGCGACCCCAGTTTGAACTGGCGAGCAAACACTGGCCCACCTCCTTTCACGAGGATAAGCAGGTGACCATTGCTCTGAGAGGAGAGCTCTTCAACCCACATCAAAAAGCTTTGATGCACATGTACATGATATCTGCTGTCACTGCTGCCAAAGCTGGAAAGGAGATGGGGATGGAGGCAGTTGGGGCTGTAGTGGTTAACCCAGCAACCCAGACAGTCATTGCAGTGGGCCACGACTGCCGAGGCGACCATCCCCTCCACCACGCAGTCATGGTCTGCATCGACCTCGTGGCTCAGAGCCAGGGTGCTGGATGTTATTCTTTTGAAAAATACCCTGCTTGCAGTTTTTCCTCACCAACCTCAGATACATGTCCAAATGAACCTGACGCAGAGGCCAGCTCTCAGCCGTACATCTGCACTGGCTATGACCTTTATGTGACCCGAGAACCTTGTGTTATGTGTGCCATGGCGCTGGTCCACTCCCGGATTGGCCGTGTGTTCTATGGGACAGCCTCTGCTGACGGGGCATTAGGGACCAAATTCAAAATCCACTGCCAGAAAGATCTGAACCATCGATTTGAGGTGTACAAAGGAGTCTTGAGCATGCAGTGTGATGATCTTGACAGGTTGGACGCCCACATCCAAAAACAAAGTTTAGAGGAACGTGTATGATTAATGCATCGCTCCAACCAGCGAGTCTGGAGCTGGAAGATTCTTAGTTGCAGTCGCTAGAGGAACAATCTAATTTTTTATAAAGTTGTTTTAAATAAAGTTTTTAAACCTGTGGTGACTGTTGTATTTAAACCTCAGATATAGTTAAAAAACAATTACAATGTTTACATCTTAATGCTGATTTTCCATTATGGGGTTGAAATGAAAGTTCTGTGACCTAAAAGCTTTGCTGGAAGGAATAAAGAGAACATCAGTGACACTGAAGCCTGACTTGAGATACAACACCTGCACAGTTAATATTATTCACTGAATTATTAACAGCTGCTGCTCTGCGTACTTGGGTCCAAATGAAGGAACATTTTTTACGTGTTTTATCAATCAAATGCAAATACAATTTTTAAACTCATTAACATTTAGCTGATTGAAATCTGAACATTAAACAGAATCAAATTGTTCTGGAAATGTTAAGTTTTTCTGATGTTTATTACATTGTGATCAGAAAAGTCATGATCTGTTGTCAGCGGGCTTGAAATGCAGGTATTGAGTGACATGTTTCCTTGTTTTTAATATGGAGGTTTGCAAAGCATCTTGGGTTTCTATTGAATTTATTCTATGTATCCAAGGGATATTTGATTTTTAGAATATAGGACAAGATGGTGAATGACCCTTGTATGTTTAAAGGTCTTCTGCACAATTAAAGTTACCAACTACCATTAGATGTTAAGAGGTATAAGCGGTCACTGGCGGATGTTTGGGACATAAGATCAGTTGTGCACATTAGCATCAACAAGTGTTTTTGCCATGTAATGACGATACAGACTGAACTTGAGGGGACAGATAAATACTAATGATTTTGATTTGATGTTGATTGTTTCAACATTTTATTCCACTGAAATTTTTTCCACCATTGCATACATTTTACCGTGCATGGTGTCAACGTGCAGGTCGGGTGGCAGGTCAGCATTGATGGTGTTATCTCTATGATAGTTTGGTTCTCTGCCACGATTCTACATGATGTCCACACGGTTTATGAAACCAGCTCCCTGTGATGACAGTTCATCTAAAAAACTAAACTAAACCATCTGTAATATTCTGTCACATCACCTGAGTTTACCAGAGGAAACATTTCAAAGAAATCAGAGGGCATCTGAGCTCAAATTCATATGTCACAACAAAGATTCTGACAATATGTTATTTCAGTTCACTTAAGCTTTTTCATTATCTGATCAATGAGTGTATAAGATAATGTTTAATATTTTATTTTATTTAGCATTGGAAAGCAAAATAACAAGTGAAAACGGTGATGGGGTCTGAATACATTCTAAATGCACTGTACGTCAGAGTTAATTTATCACAGGACACTACAGACCTGACTTACGAAACACTTTACCTGACAACAATAATTTGCCTCATTTCCACATACAGGACTTTTATTTTGACAAACGGGACATAACATTCACACAAAAAAAACTGTACAATGAAAATATTTCCCGGTTTTGATTGAGTCACAAGTGAGAAATATTCACATACCAAGGAAATCATGCAAAGAAAGAATATGATTCCATTCTTCACTCAGGACGAACAAATTTGACGCCCATTACAAAATGAGAGTGTACCAATAAACGAGCCACAGGCTCCAACCCCCAAGAAGTAAACATCTTTGAAAAATACATTGGGGACATCTTTGCAAATACTCACATATGACTTGAAGGCAAAGAAAGGAAAATATGAACTAAAGCAAAAGCCTGACTGATGCCTGGGCCAGCCCAGGTCTACGCAGGCCAAAAATACATCATTAAATATTCACATAAGTTAGTAATGCATATTGCATCCTGTCATCTACAAACATACTCCTGTTCTCTTAAACATTTCATGTTCAAACTGAAAATTCTAATGACAACAGTGGCATTTACACAAACTATACGACTCGGTATACACATCAGTGGTACAGACCACATAGGAATTAACTGTGGTTGCTATGAGACACAGCATTTACAATGTCTTAATACTTGTTGATGCCGAAAATTCTTACTCCATGTAGCTGTGGCAGCTTGGGAATCAGGACGCTCAAAAGTGAGGCAGTGTTTATGATAAAGTGTGTTGTGTCATACTTTGTGTAGAAACTTGCCAGGAAGTATCTGTAGAGGAAGACAAGAGAGATTAATTAAAGATAAAATAAACCGCTAAGTCATTTTGATACAAGAAATGAGAAATAAGACAAAAAGTGAGCACCACATTTTCTTGCACATGGATTCTATGAACTTCAGCATTTCACCTCTAACAGAACAAAACCATTGGTCATGATCCATGTTGAGTTTTTTTTAAGATCTAAGGATGAGATAATTAGCTGCAAAAAGAATTTCATCTTCACTTTACAGTGGTAGTCAGCGTGAAAGACTCTGGGTCTTAATAAACAGATGTGTAAATTATCAATAAGTGTAAAGACAGAACCAGAGTTTACTTAGCACATACAGAATGATCGGGGAGATGGTGAAGAACTTTCTAGATGAAGTGAACTGCACGCCGTAATCAAGCTGTTCCCAATGTGTAAGAAGTCTTGCTTTTCCTTGGTCTGGGGTCTCAAAAGGTGTGCCTTTCACCGCATGCATGAACACATACATTCCCTGCAGAGAGAAAAACTTAGTCAACGGTGCTGCGATTACAGTTTGTGAGGAATAAGACCATTGCAGACTGATTAAATGCTATGAACTTTCTGTTTTCACATTTTTCACCATTAAAACCTTCATGAAAATAATACTTGTCACAGTTGATTCACTTTATTATAAAATACAGCAGGTTTTAAATAATCATATTGTATTCCAATAATTCATCGAGCTGTTGTACCAAAGACTATATTCACTTTCCGCTTGTCCAAGTAACTAACAATTTAAAAATCACCCATTTTTGGTTGTGACGCTGCAGGAGTTTTATTGTCTGAACTGCACAGAACAGAGAAATCTCAACAATAACAACAAATCTCCTGCCTGGTGCTTGTGACACAAAGGCACATGATAAATTCATTAGCCAAAAAAAGAAACATATACAAATAATGTCTTTTTATTTCGCACTCAAGTTAGCTTTGTTGAGAACGAACATCAATGTCGGACCCTTTGTCAAAACACTGGAATTCAGCTTTAAGAGGAAAAGCTGCATTACAGGGAGGAAAGTTATTAAACTAAAATGCAGACATAAGTCATAATCAGCACACTGCAGCTGTATTGTGAGGACAACAATAGGCTACAGTTGACCTTACTGGTTTCTGTTAATAGCCTTCCGTATTGGCTGTACTACACAATCCTTGTAAAGTGCTCAGAGCTCACACTTTTCAATGATATCACACAGACAGACAGTTTCTTTATTTGCCTGCCAGCCATGTGACAATGAAGGGTCAGTTTTGTCTAGAGACCTTAAATGGAGTGGACAGATTATCATAATAGATCATGGGTCAGGCTGCCACAAGGCCAGCCTCCCCAAAATAGAGCATATTTTAACAAGCACACACAAGCACAGGCAAGGGGGGAGGAAGCTAACACCAGGCTGTTTGGCTTAGCACGCATCTAATATTGAGCTGGAAGCTACAGTTAACTGGTATTAGGAAATGATATCTAAGACATCCTCAAATCGAAAGAGTGATTTGATCATATCTGCGACAGTGTGAAAGTGTTACTTACAAAGTTGTGAATGACATTAGTAAGAGTCCACACCACTGGCACACTGAAGAAGGGTATGCTCAAGAGCACAATGTGAAGTATTCCAACACCAAGTGCATACGTCAGCCAGATCCCTCGACTGTTCATCACCCGAGTGTTTGGGTTCACCTCACTGTGTGCCACACCCACATTCATTCTGGTCTGTGGACAGCAAAATAAAAATATTCACAAAACAGGATTTCACCTTGGTGGAACATTTAGATTTATTCATTTCTTCTTTCTCGTGTATTGAGAGCAGTTCCCATTATGATGTTCTTAAAAAGTTATGATTCAGCTCTTGATACTCAGCTCATCAAGTGGGGTCTACTTTACTTGAATGCATCTGGAGATTGATGCATTCAACTTTGCTAGTTTTTCTGTGGCGTTGGTTCTGCCTTGATAATCATTAGCGGCCTTGAGCAATGACTGCGAGGGTTTGAAATGCGAGATCGATGTTTGGAAAGCACAGGATTTCTGTTTTAATGTCAGGAAAACGAAACTAACTAAAATCACTTTTACAAACCATCAACACTGGACATACAGTATCTGCAACTACAACGGGCCTTTGACCTTAACTGGGCCAGTGTACCCTTTGCAATTTTCTGTATAGTAAACCTCTGTTTGAGGTAGCAGATGTTAAACAATGTACCGCTGTAGCACTTTTCCCTCCCTGCAGGTCTAAATGTGACAACATACCGTGCAATCTTGTTGAACTTTGCCCTGTGGCACACTTTCAGCTACCAGACTGGATTAAAGACACTGAAAACAGTTATTGATAGAAATGAAGACTTTAACCAACAAACAAGGCCTCTAAGCTGCAGACTTTTAATATTTCACCAGTGTTGTTACATTTTAGCATCTGGTAATCATTGTGAAATATGTATATGCACCAGTGTGAATGAGGAGATACTATTTTAGTCTGTTTGCCCAGTTTGATCTTTTATTATCAGCCTTAGCAGTGGGCACCATTGCTGTGTACAATTCCTGATCTGGTGAACATTGTGGCAATCTGATGCATCTGGTGCTCAGTTAATAGATGCTGATACACGAGAGAACAGATACGTGCTGTTTCATAACACATCTGATAACACAGCCATTTACACAGAGAGTGTATTCGAACAACACGAACTGCTGACACAACTGGAAATAACCGTGGACATGATGTACACTTGAGTTACACACAAATAGGAGTCACTGGCCCAGGCTATTTGCTGAATAATATTCGTACCTCCACTTCACTGCAGGACTATCACAACCGCGCACACAAGTTCATGACAGCACACCGATCACACGTCTGACTCAACGTAAACAGATGGATTCCCTTGTGCCTGACGAGCCTCGATAAGCAGGCGTATAAACCCGAACCGTCCGTTAGACATGCTCTCGCTCCCAGTACATAGCCCGACCCGATCCACCCCTGCTCGTATTCCAAGTTTATCAGCATCATGACGTGGATCAGAATCGTCCACAAGCGTGCGCGGTTAAACGCGTAGACAATCATTCGGCCGCAAGAGCAGCGCGGCGAACTCACAGGTAGCAGCGAGCAGCGGGGGTATTCACAGAGGAGAGGGGCTACGGAGAGAAAGTGTGTATCCCCTGTTGATGTGTCCAGGTCCAGATCCGGCGCTGACAGCACGTCGCTCACTGACCACAGCGGAAGTAGACGTGGGTTCACGGTACTGCGAGGAAGACGTTTGATTCCCGCGATTTTAATCCACAGGCTCAATCCTGCCCCGTAAAAGCCTCTCAAAGCGGACCGTCCTGTGAACGTTCAAACAAGATATAAGAGGACTATGGATTGGTTGGAGCCTGGTTTGTTAGGTTTTCTTAGGGCTGATGTAGCCTGATTTAATGTTGTGCCTGTTAGCCCTCACGCAGGGTAGAATTTACTCAAGGTTCTCTGACAACCCGCCCTCGTGTCATTTCGAGCCAATCAGCGGGTTAAAGAGGGGGCGGGAAACAGGTCACTTCCGGTTTGTGTCTGCGCGTTGTTAATGGAAGGTTCGGTGGCAGCGCAGATCTACAGAGCTCCTTCACGTCAGTATGAACCATGAACTTAAATCACTCTTATAGTATATTCTAGTAATGTCGCTCCACGTGTCTACACTGTATTCAGTTTGACAAGTCAAAGCAGCCCAGCAGCAGCTGCAGACCGGTTCCAGTCAGCTGTAGAGTGCCTGTCAGCTCATGGGAGGAGGTTCACACTGTGACATGTTGTTTCTTTACTTTATTAAAGAGCTTCTCATTGAATCATTATTATTATTGACTGGCAGAAGATAAGTACAGTGCTTCATGTAGCACTGGACCCATGACTGCTCCCATAACCTGTACAGTCGTTGCCAGGTGACTCCTCCAGTACTATGAGTGCTTCTTATATTTGAATCGACTCATATATGAATGGATACATTTCTATTTTGTGTTTGAGGTCAGCCCGACTTGGGAATGGATTCAAATGACCAAATATTACGCGAATAATCTTTATACCACTTGAGTTTTTTATCGTGTATCTTAAGCCCTTACATAGATCACCAACATATACTGTTTTCTTTGAAACTCACTGGTGTAAAGAAACAGGTGTGAGCTCCTCTGTACCTTTAGGCTGCTAGAGTTAAATCAAAGTTCAAACAAAGCTTTGACAATCACTCACAGCTTAGTGTAGTTTGAGGTTCATATGAGGGACTAGGGTGCAACCTACTCTTTATATACAGTCTGTGGGTGCAACCCAGTTTTTTGGAGTGACTGCAACAATTCAGCTAAGTTTTCAAGAAATTCAAGTAACAAAAGAACACGTTTTTGAGGTCGGATGACCGTCTTGTCCGATTGCTGGCCTCAATTGTCAGGAAAAGCTCTGTATTTGTAAGATTCATACACTATTTATATGATCAGCAGCAACAAATTCAGTGTTTTAACATAAGGAATCTTTGTGGCAGTAGAACTCAAGACGTGTAACTCTGCTTACATCCACACCAAGCTTGTTCATAAAGGCAGATGCACAGTGAAACTGACTTTTTACTGAGATTTGATTAGCCCGAAACTCACACCTTGCTGAATCAAAAGCAGAAGTACCCGAAGTGAAACCAGACTTTTCTCCAACAGATACATGAAATCATGCACCAGTTGCCACGAGATACTGTGCGGCTGCTGTCGAGCTCCCAGGTCATCACTTCAGTGTTGAGCGTTTTGAAAGAACTGTTGGAAAATTCCCTGGATGCCGGATCTTCAAGCATTGACGTTAAACTGGTACAGTATCTAAATGACAGATTTTGGATTAGGACAAATCATTTTTAAATATTGGCTATAGCAGAATTTGGATTTGTTTTCTTGCCCACTTAGCAGCAACATCGTTATTATATTTAATCGTACATTTTGCAGCTGCAGTGGCAGCCTACAGTATGATTGACTTTCCCATTGCAGGAGAATTATGGTTTGGACCGGATAGAAGTACGTGACAATGGCCATGGAATCAAAGCTGCAGATACTCCTGTGATGGCTGTGAGACATTATACCTCAAAGATCTGTAGCCATGACGACCTGGAGCGTCTGGAAACGTACGGCTTCAGGGGAGAAGCACTGGGTTCCATTTGTGCAGTGGCAGAGGTAGGAAGTCTTTAAAAATTAGCAGTTATTATGTGACAGTCACATCTGAAGAAAAGTAATAACCAAATTGAATAGAATTATAGTTGAATTAGACACGTTTTATTCTCTTCTCTCCGTGTTGTTTCCAAGTTGAATATAGTTGGAGTATAAACTTCAGTTGTTCCCATGGCTGCTATTTATGCTACCTAGGGAAACCTAGCTAAAGCTATTGGTAAAATAAAAGCAGATTGCATAGTGAAAGCAAAGGCTTACACAACCAATTTAAATCCTAATCTTGTGATTATTCTATAGCCATTAGATTGTGAAATGAACATTTACTTCATTATAATAAGAGGAATCAACTTAAACAGAAGTTATACTTGTTGATATACTAATCTCGATGTTCATGAAAAAGAAAATACTTCATCTCACTCATGCATCCATTTATATCATATTTTACACATTGTCTGACCCTTTTATTTATCAGTTCGTTAGAATCACATATGAATCCTGCTGTGTTTGTCAACTGGTTTGATGTCTCGTGCTGTCTCTTCAGGTAGCTGTCACCACGAAGACGGTGGAGGATGACATCAGCATCCAATACATGCTTAACCTCACAGGGGAGATTGTCTCTCAGAAGCCGTCTCACTTGGGTCAAGGCAAGGCTGAAGTATTCCATTACATATCATTTAGCCGACACTTTTATCCAAAGCGACTTACAATAAGTGCATTCAACCATGAGGGTACTCACCCAGAACAGTAAGAATCATGTAAATATATTAGCTTCAAAAAATCCAAACTACAAGTCATTTAAAGAATCTCCCAGTGAGCAACAGAACAGTTTTTATCCATTTTCTGAAAATCAAATGCACTCTTATTAAATTGACAGTTTTTCCCCTCAAAATACATGAAAGTAAAGGTATGCAGTAGCTACAGAATGTATTAAGAACCACTCACTTTATGTAGATAATATAGTGTTGTGCCTTTACTTTTTGCCTTTACTAGTTGATAAAATTGCCATTTGTACTGGGCACATCCTCTTCTTCTTCAGATTGAATGGGAACTGTCATCTTCAGGTCTCTCAAAAGAAATTCTAATTTGGTTGGGTCATTCAACTACAGGTAGAGACTTGTCCTGAAGACACTCCGGTGTTTCCTTGGCCGTGTGCCTCAGATCAGTGTTAGTCAGGAAGGTGAACCATCTCTCCAGTTTTTTGTGCTGGAGCAGGTTTTCTTCAAGGGCCTCTCTGTGCGTTGCTGCGTTGATCATTCCGTCATTTCTGACCAGTCTCCCTGTCCCATGTCCATAATGAAGCCAGCACCATGCTTCACTGAAGGGATGGTATTATCCAGGCGATGGGCGGTGCTTGGTGTTTGCCAGATGTAGTGTTTGGAGTTCTGTCGAAAGTTTATTGTCTTATCAGACCAGAGGATATTTTTCCTTATGCTCTTAGAGAAATTTAAATGCTCAAAGTGGGACCCGTCTAGCCACTTAACCATCAAGGCCTTTATGAAAGAGTGTTGCTGAGGTGATCATCTTTGTCGAGGACTTTGCCCACTCCAGTCCTGATGGTTCCAAACTTTATTCCACAATTCTTAAAGCCGCTTTTCTCCTAGGAGCACTCAAAGCTTTAGAAATGGTTTTGTACCATTGCACTGTTTTATGCCTCACCACAAGTTTATCACAGAGATCTACACAGACTTCCTGGGTTGGTGTTTGTCCTCCTGACATGTTGGATCTTGTATTTGCATGTGGGCCTGGACACACCTCAGGGTTCATCAAAGCAAAAGGATGCTCCTGAACATAATGTGGAAAAGAAAGGCATCTGAATACTTTTGTCAATTAGTGATTTCAGTGAATCCGTTCAGAGTTATTTTATCTTTTTAAAATTAATACTACAAGTTAAGTGTGCAAAAAGTGAAGCGGTCTGGTAGGAAAATGACAATGTTATGTTAAAAGCTGTTCCACACCTCTTCTCTCCTGTGTTGTACAGGTACAACAGTGAGTGTGCTGAAGCTTTTCAAGAATCTTCCAGTCAGGAGGCAGTACTATTCTTCGAGCAAGAAGTGCAAAGAGGAGCTGAAGAAAGTACAAGACCTGCTGATGGCATATGCTATAATCAAACCTGACCTGAGGATCACGCTTGTTCACAATAAGGTCAAGATCTTCTCATTTTTACGATTTTAACCAAGGGGAGGTGAAATTATTTGTCAACTTTCACACAAAGGGAATTTACACAAGATGCTAATCTTTCAATTTAAAACCATCCTATCACCAAGCAGCCAAAACACCATGTCTTTGAAAGTGAGTATCAAACACTGACTTCTTGTGGGCTTGTAAGAGAGCTCTCAAAAGTGTGCTGTCTTCTCTGCTGTCACTGTTTAGTGTGTTCAGTGTGTGCAATCATCATATCACTTCTGCAGCGGCTATTCTTTGTATTATATAACCTCTGTGGTGGCTGAGCAAATGAGCATGTCTGACTAGACATCATTTCAATAAATACAGCAGTTTCATTATAAACAAAAAATATTACAACACTCAGAGGTGAAAGAATTACATTAAAATAAGGATTCTAAAGAAAAAATGATCTTTTATAGTATGTATCTATTTAATATAAAGCAGGGACAGTCTCTGCAGCAGGCTTTGATGATGTGAGGTCAAAAAACCTCCCCACCCTTCAGGCAGCTTCCTTTGGCCTATATTCCCATCCATCCACTGACACTGGATAGGGCAGACTCAAACAACAACAGTTAGTGTCTGCATACAGTAATGTTGGCTCCTAACTTCTGCGTGTTGTTATTGTCAAATATTCACAAAAAGCCCCACCAGAAGTTGACTGGGATTGTTTGGAACTCACTGAATGTAGAGGTGGAGAACAGAGGAGTTCATTATACTTCAGGAGAGGTGTGACAGATTTGTAACACAACTAAACAAATGGGAGAAGAACACGTTGGGTTTTGTTATAATTAAATCTGTCCTGTAAAGTAGCATAATCTTCTTCCTACAGTATATATTCACACACACACAGCAACCGCTAGGTGTCCTCATTTGTCTTCAAATGACTGAACATCACTGGTTCAAAAGCCTCCTCAGTTTCTGTCAATAGGGCCTGAGTTTCTGCTGTGTAGTGTTAGATTTGTGGCAACATCACTGATAACGATGATGTGTGTAAAAGCGCTTGACGACACTGAAAGATTATATGCTGTTTAAGATTAGTGCTCACACATGCAGTTTATTGAAACCTTAAAAGGGAAAGAACGTGTGATGCTTGATTCCATCAAATCTTACCACCAACATTTTTTTGAGCAGTTTACTTAATTCATGACTCAGTTTAATAATTACATTGAGTAAAAGAATAGTATTTACTAACTATACAGACTATTCTTAAGCTGGAAGAGGGGAAAATGACAAAAAGCCTTTAGAATACCACCTAATTTCACCTAATTGTTATACCCATTATAATATAATTTGAAATATAGCATAAGTGTTAAATGTAAGTTACATTTACAAGGTGTGCATGGCCTCATTTGATTCCCTTTCAAATTTGTAATTAAGCTTGTCGGGTAAATAATTAATCAAACACCGTCTCAAAGACAAAAATAGTCGTCAGACTCCTGTTGTTTTGTCGTCAGTGAGCTATGAAATTATCACCTATGATAGAAAAGCTTCATTTGGCTTTTGTACAAACACATCAACTAAATGTTTAAAGAGCCAAACAACAGACTGGCAAACCTAAAAATTTCTAGGTTAGAGTTTACTTAACATAATAAAATAATATGCACACAACACAGTGAGTGTGCCTGTAGCTATTAAGTAGTAATTATACGTTTTTTTAAGTTGTGTGCATGTGGTTTTTAAATGAGTTACACAAAATTGACTTGTTTTGGATTTAAAATATTATTCAAGTGCTTTTCTAAGTAGGTGAATGTACATGGAAAGCTGATTCATCAAGCTTTTTGACTTGGGAAATGGCAAAATATGAATATCCTGAAAACATAAAACCTACCGGATCTCAGAAACAGTTATTTGTGTTTTTTATAGCTGCAAATAATGCTTATTATCATGATTGATTTTTTTAATGAAACATAATATAAATATAGATAGATAGGTAGAAAAGACTTTATTGTCATTGTCACTGTAAAAGTCATTTAAAGTTAAAAATGAGACATGATGAGAAACCAGCGTGCTATAAAGACATTCAGATGTGGCTGCAAGATCTTTTGTCTTGAAAAGTCGTTATGTAAAAGTTACATGTAATCAAATATAAATGTCATTATTTAAAACTTGAGATATTTAATTCCTAAATGAATGCAATTTAGCATTCTTAGCTGCTAAATACCTCTTTCACTGTAAATCTAGTAAACACCACTGATGAACTTCATGAATCAGTCTTCAGGGAGATTCAGAGCACAGGTTTGGATCTGTGAGCTTGTATTTTACTGATATCGGTTGTACTTAAATGCACAACAGTGGATGACAGAACCCTGCAGGCTACAGAGTGCTGCTGGAGTAATGTGCACACTCTTAACAGCAGGCTGAAAAGCACGATGCTGTATTTAGAGACAAGCAAATGCAAATAATAACGAAACCTCATGATGCAGCAAGCGTTGTCGGTTGGATTTGCAGCTGTTAAGGGAACAATGAACTATGTCTGTAACCTGAAACTTAAGACTAGTAAATCTACAACATACTGTGCGTCTTAAACTAATAAAATGTTTGAGTTGTGGCCCAATCCCTATGCTCATACGTCATTACCGCCACCGCTTGACTCCGCAAAGAATCGTAATAATAGTCATGATTAAAAAATGTGACTCCTGCTGTATTGATAGTTCAGTGTTTGCTCTTTAGGGCTGTTTGTTAATGTGCAACAGCAAAACAAGTAGATGATTGTTGGTGAAAGTAATTTGCAATAGAAACTGAACTTCCTCACCTAACAAAGCAATTTGACAAGTTCTGATAACTTTTAGAAGATGAATCATAATTTATCATCAACTTGACCGAGTCATTAGTGATAATCTGATTTATATATATTCAGATTGCTCGTTTCAATTCAATCATTGGGATTTTTTTGATCATTCACCAAAAGTATGCGAACGCCTTCACGTTTTTTGGTGTGCACAATAAAAAAGCCAGTAATTATATTTTGGTTTGTTCCATTTCATAAGAGCAGATTAATCAGCAGAGGAATTATTTAGCAGTTGACATTTCCATTCATTACAAGGTTTCAGACCACAGCTAAGTGTAACTGTCATTTGCCCCAAACACAAATATGGCTGATGGACGGTGAACTGTGATTTGCTTGATTATGACGCCTGAGTAAGTTGCTGAACACAGCTGCAGGCTTAACCCCAGATTCAGTTTCAGGCTGCAGCTAGTTTGTACACAGAAGTGTATAGGTGGTGTGGGTCACGGAGCAGCCACACGACTCCCGTATGAATTTCATAGAAATCAGTTTTGAGGTCGTCAGGTTAGAGTAGTAAATCCATTTTGCACAATCAGCACTCAGTTGCCCCTATCCTCTATCTCCAACTCTGCTATTTGGCTTGTGTCGTGTTTCACAGCTTCTTCAAGAACTGTTTACAGGAGTGATCCGTTTACATGCGCCAGATTGTGTATTTAATAACTGAGACATGCCCTGCAACAGCGTGCATGCTTTGAGAAATCAACACCCGAGAGATATATTCACTGTTAAACACAAATTACAAGCCCACTTGTGGGTGACAACATATTTGAACTATTTTTTGATCAGACATGTTTTTGAGGTGTCAGGTTTTTTTCTATTGATGCTTATGTAATATTTTCAAAAACCATATATACCACTTATGATACTTTATCATGGCCTTTTCAAATGTTCCATTAGTTGATGATGTTTTGTAATCAATGAACAAAACTATCATCATCATCAATCATCAGTATGAACTAAAGAGTCCTGAAGCTTTGATTTCCATTGTATTGACTCAGTTATTTTCACAACAGTAGTCTATAAGTAGCAATTTGGGCTCAATGATGAAATCATGTTTTAAGAAGTAAGAAAAGCAAGAATATACATTTGGATCATCAGGTCTTGTAATGATTTATTGTTAATTTCAATACCCATTCACTTTTACTCTTCCTCTGCTCCCAGCAAAAATAAAGCCTGATATTTCTAATCTTGGAACACTGCAATTTAAGCTTTTGTCCATCTCTTGCTGAATCATTTAACAAACAAAATATATGAACTCCAGACATATTGGCAGCTTGGTGGCCCAGTTACTATCGTAACAGGTGTTTATGCAGTGTGATTTGCGTCGCCTGATGTGGACTCGTGGAAGTTGACTCGTGTCATATTGTTCCAGGTGGTGGTTTGGCAGAAGACCAAGGTGGCCGATCACAGAAGTGCCCTCCTTGCTACGCTGGGGCCCAGCGCTGTTGCCAACCTGCTCCCATGCCACTATCACCAAGAGCAACCAGAGGTTAGTCAAGGGGAAAGTGCTGAGATGAAACCAACGTGTGATACAAACCAAATACTTGCTAACTCAGTTTGTGTTTTCTTTTCTAGCAAAAAAGTACATTGGTTTAAAAAAACAAAACAACCACACATTCTGATTTAGTTAACTGTCCAAGTGTTGCCAGTGGGCTAAGTTGTCATATGTTGTGTCAGGCTCATGTTTACAGGTTTCAGGTTTCTCTGTCAACTTTTATTTTTATTGTTTCACGCTGCTCGGTTGGGCAAAGTCACCTTTGAACGCTGAATCAAACGATGGAACAAATGTGAAGAGACAACGTGGTGTGCATTGCACTCTGATGGATGAGCGTCACAGGCACATAGCACGGCTCTGTGGCACAAGGCTGTATGCCACCCCTCCCATCTCATGCATACACCTTGCACTTTTTGCTCTCATACTGTGGCTCCCATGCCGCATTGCCCTTCATTAAAGGCAACAGTTTTAACTTGAAATTACGTGTTACATAATTTTCAGTCAAAATCCGAATAAAACACATGGTTGAAAAAAATTATCTAAATAACTCAACAATTGGTGCTAAATAATAAAAAACCGAGTGGGTGAAAATAAATTGATTTGCACAGTAAGTGAATGATGACTGCAACTTAATTGTTTAGATGTTGTATATTTGCAGAGCAAATAAGTGCATGCACGTTATACTTGACCGTGAGCTAATAACCTCATCAGGAACGCCTGGTCTCAAGCCAGCAAATGTGGCCAGTTGGTGGCTCGCCAACTATTTCTTTGCCCTTTTCTTTTGAGTTCTTTCTTGATGAAAAGTGAATTATTTTTGTTAGCTAAGCTTTGCTGTGCTGATCATAATTGAATTACTGGTAAGCGGTAACTTTCTGCTTGGTCACGGTAGGTGTCATGTGGCTCGTACCTGCTGCCAGGCTCCCAACTAATCTAGTTTGACAGATATGGAGCAGCCCTTTTCACCCTGTTTCTCTCTCATTTTCCTCTTTGTTGTTGTTATTTTGCTGCTGCACTTTGGTGCCCAGTTATGAGAACAACCTTTCACCCTTTCCTCTTACACCCTGTAGCAATGAAAGAGAACGTTTCTCCTCTTTGTCCCCAAGAGTGAAGCTTAGTGATCAAGAGAACCAGGTTGACAATTTCACTGGGGGCTCGCTCGGGGTGAGTCGTAAGAGCTTTTCCTCTGCAGAACAAAATGTGACACTCGTTTTTGGCAGCATGACTACACATAGCTGCGGCCCTTTGGGGCCAGAGGTGCCATTCATGCTCCCATAAAGTGACCCTAATGAGCAGAAATAGAGAGAAGCATATGTGCTGTGACCTGAAACAGCAGTTCATTTATTAACTACATTGGCGTGCGTTGCTGCTAATAATGAGCCCTGGGCCATGTGGGGGAAAAAGCATAGCTATTATCTGCTTGCAAGCTGTAGAACATTAACAGCTTTCCATAATTTCATACAAGCCCATAATCATAATGGAGATTTGAGTGCAGTTGCTCAGTTTTGTGCAGAGTCATCAACTTTAGCTCTTGAGAAATACCTCTGGTGGGATTATAGGTGAAAGGTCATTGTATAATATGTGTGTCTCATCATATTATATGATGCAAATGTCAGCAGTATTAGATGTTACACTGCCTGTTTTACTTATTGTCAACTGAACCATCCTAATTGAAAATACAATATGGGCTAGTTTATTTCATGAAGTTCCAAAACTAGTAGTTCTACATGTTGTTGCTCCTCTGTGTCTTCCAGCTGCTGAGAATGACAACATGGAAACACGTCTGCCTTTCAGAAACTTGTAGCCAAGTTGTTTATTACAGCCATTATTTGTCATAAATAGTTTTGTTTTCTCATCAGTAGTGGAGCATAGCATTTGATTTATGTCTGAACCTTTTATGTTTGACATCCGCTTTGTGCTTGTGTCTGGTTATTAATATTATAATTATCTTTCTTGTATTCAGATCTCTTTAGAGGGTTTTTTCCCAAAGCCTGGAGCAGATTTTTCCTCTACAAGCTCATCTAGCCCAGACAAAACGTTTCTATTTGTCAACAACAGACCTGTCCATCATAAGGATGTATTGAAGGTAGAACCATTTTGGGATAAATAAATGAAACAGACTTTGTACATTGAATATTTGTTTGTATGTAATAGCATTCTTTTCTTTTTTGTTTCCGTGTATATTTGATCATCAGTTGTTGCGCCAACACTACGCGGCTCAGTATCCAGGGGATCCAGCCCAAAATCGATATCCCACCCTTTTGCTTAAAATGACCGTTTCACCCTCTTCGGTTGATGTCAACCTGACACCGGACAAGACCCAGGTTCTACTTCTAAACAAGGTGACTATCAAATTCAAACTAAGTCAGAATCTGTTTAAAATTAGTTTTTTCAGATTTAATAATGACTGGGGATCAAAAACAAAACCCCATCTGTATTATCTGTCATCTGTCTGATGTTTAGGAGGCTGTGCTGACTGCTATAGAGGCAATGCTGGTTTCTCTCTATGGCTATCAGCCTGGTTGTGAGCCCTCAGCTGAGAAACAGCTCGGCCATGAGATGTCTCCTCTGCCATTGAGTCCTTCGCAGACTGATGCTTCACGACTTGTCACTGGGCAAAGTAAAGAAATGGATGTCAGTGTCACCAACCACAATGGCGATGACATCACTTTGTCTACGGCTAAGGGCACGGGTGCGTCACTGCAGCCCCAGACCTCGAACAGCAGTTCTTCATCTTCGGTAGCAGAGGACTGGATTGTCCCCCAGATCTCAGCCAGGCGTGAGTCTAACGTTTCTCTTTATGATGATGAAATGGCTCAGAGCTGCATTCAGACAACAGAAACAGGTTCAGCAAACGAATCCTTGGAAAGACTTGAGGACAATATGGTGACAGAAAAAAACAAACACCAGATATCAGCTGAGGACTGGAGCCGCGGGACGGCTCTGACTGACCCCTTAACACGAGAACCCCTGCAGCCCGTTAAAATCCATCAGCCCCCGAAGCACAATCATTCTGACTCAGATGAGTTAAAGAGTCAAAGCAGCTCAAACAAAAAGATGTTCAGTAGCATAATAGAGAAGCGGGATGCACTGACAGCCTACGACCTGATCAGCAACCGTGCCATCAGGGCTCCGCTGTCTTCTGCCACCTCACTGGAGAAGGAAGTCAGAGCTGAGGTGCTGAGCGAGGAACCCACAGCTGGCCTGCAGGATATCAATGTCACTGCTCAAGAGAGGTGGAAAAATCTGAGGGAGGACGACCATAAGAAGTGAGTTTCCAGACCTTCACCTTTCCAAGCAGTTGTTTCCATTTCTTGTTATTTGCAAGGCAGAGAGAGTGGGGAAAGTTTGACCTGTCATTTGCATGTGAAAAGCCCAGTCTGGAAATTATGTTGATACGAGCTGTGTTTCTAATTTCCTGACTGTGATAGTGAGCAAGGTAGACAACATTTTCCACAGTACAACAGGTATCACTAATAACGAAATGTCCTGTATAGTATTCCATCTATCCAGAGGATTCCCATGTCAAGTTTAAGTTTATACATCCTCAACGTAAAATCCTTGAGGAATGCTTTTATATTACATCATGACATTAAACATAGGCATTAACATTGACACTGAGACAGGATACTCGGATTTGATGTTAGAGTGTTTGATATGAACTACTTGTTTAATAGAAACCCTAAAATAAATGCCCTGTCCCCAGGTTGTTACTCATAATCTGAATTTTAGAACAGCATCACATGTTAGAGACTAAACAAATACTAGTGAAATTATTTTTCCTCAAAACTTCACCTCTGCAGACCTATACAGAGAATAATATGTAATATGGGGATCCAGCATGCTCACCTTCTAAATGTCAACATGTTGATTCAAGCTAATCGAATCAACTGTCAGGATACTGGTTGGAAACAGAGATGAATTTAAATGGACAGTTTAAAGTACAATTTGTAAACATAAGCATTAACACTGACACTCAGACAGGATTTAAGTGAAAGTGAAAAGTGAGTGATATGAACTGGTGTTTACTCATTTGTTATTAGGGACTCAAACACAAATATAAAACCTAAATGTCCTGTTTCCAGGTTCACACAAGTCTCTTTGTCCATTTCAAAACCTCACCTACACTTACTTCATAAGTGGAGTCAGGAGTGACACATAGTTGGCTTGTCAAGAATAGAGCTGGCACAGACCAGATGGAGGTAATGAGTGTTTGTGTTTGACCCTTGCTTCCCTCAGAGTTAAATGATTGACATTATTAAAGGTAAGACAGGATGGAGTTATTTGGACAATAACAAACAAAAAATAACACAGTGATCCCATGAATGTGCACACTTAGTAGAATAGTGCATTATTTTCCAGGCTAACGGTGTTTGTCTGATTCTGAGAGATCCAAGCACAATGATCGTTTATAGAATGGTGCTGGTCACAGATCAGAAAATATAAAACAGTGTACAGAACATGTTAAACTCTTAATTTATTGTATCAGTTGATTGCATTGAAACTGATAATGAAAGAAGTTCAGGAGTAAATTTTGCCATGCAGTCATTAGAATCTTCTAAAATGCTCCAGATGCACATGCAAACGTCGGTAAAAGAAAATACAAACTGTGCTACTCCACTAGCATCATGGAATAACACCATTATACCGCAGCGAAAGGGCGTCAGCCCAATTACGTTAGATTGCGCGGCATACCAATTTAAAGTGATTACAAGGTTGGAAAATATGTATCAGCAGTACATACAGCCTTATATAAGGTATGGAAGAGTGTATGGAAAAAGACATCTGTTTAGAATCCTGCCTTGCTGTGCTGCTGCTTAAACATGAAATAAGATTTGGCAAGTACTTGGCCCCTTTCACTTCCACTGTTAAGTGGCACACCACTTCTAGGAATTATACTTGAAACAGGTGATTTGAATAATGGGGTGCTGAAGTGTAAGCCCTAATGCTTAACACATGAAGATCTATGGAAACATGAGTTGGCAGCATTGCTGAGGAAAGCACCCTATACATAGGGTTGACTTGGTGTATATATATTTATGAAATTCTCAACATGTTCTCCGCATGTACACTGGGAACAAGTTGTTACTCGGAATCTGATCTCTTATTTTAGAATAGGCTCTAATATGTTTTAACTCGACACATCACGTGGTAGCTTAGCAGCTGTGCAACAAAGGAAATCACTAAAAAACACAAATACTATTGGTATCATTCTTCTCCAAATCTAAACTTCTCTGCAGACGTATGTAGTGAAGGTTGTTATGGATAACTGTCAGTCACAGAGGATCCAGCATGCTCACCTTCTAAATCTCAACAACATATTGATTCATACAGTATGGCAAGACGCTGGTTGGAAATGGAGATGAAACCAATTGACGGAGATGATACTGCTTTATTCAGTGATTTTACTGGATTTAATCCCTGAGTCATGTCATTCTGAGGTGGAGGAGATCTCTATAGATAATCCAGCTCCTGGTTAAATTTAGCTGAATGTCTGTATTATAAGATATCATAGGAAAAATCTGGACCCACTTGGAACACTTAATTTGTCCTGTGAGCCGACCAGTTCCAGTGGTTAAACATGTTTTGTAACATAATGTCTGATTCTGATGTTCAAAACACTCAACTCCCACTTGCTGTTGTAACCTGTTTCATCTGCACCAGTGAATGCTAGAAAGCCAACATGGAACTGATTTAAAAATAGTGTTGTCGCTGGTGTTGTAGCTATAAAAGATTTGAACTCTGCAGGTCTGAGGAGAAGGCAAAGCAACACCATGACCAAAGGACCAAATTGGCCCCTGCTGAGGGCCCCAGAGATCCGAGTGTGAGCACCCCAAAGAGCCACGTGCGCGGCCAGAAACGCAAGGCCCCGCTGTCCAATCAGCAGCTGCTGGACGAGCTCTTCTCTGCACAGCCCCAAAAGAAGATGAAGAACTCTGCACCTAAGCCCTCACAGCCCCTCCCCTGCAGCGTGGCTGCCCTTCGGCTGCAGCTTCAGCGCCTCTCATCCCAGTGCAGCGCAGCACCGCGGGGCCTCCGTCTTGTAAACCGACTGGCCTCTCAGAGCGCCTGGGTCATTTTATGTGGTCAGAGGCTCATGTTGTTAAACCCATTTCGAGTGGAGGAAGCCTTGCTGTTTAAGAGACTTCTAGAGAATAATATACTTCCAGCTGAGAGTCTGCAGAACCCTATACAGTTAACAGATGGGTAAAGTATCACTCACCTCTCACCAGCAAAACGCCAACTCTGACAGTTGTTTTCCTTTTGGGAAACTGCTCACTCATCCAATTTCTTTACATACATGTACAGTACATGTTATAGACTATTTTTAAGACAAAGAAATCTTAGTACTTGGCTTCTATTAATGCTCATCTAATGGATGGAAATACAGTAATGTATGTTTAACATGTCCTTGTGTGTCTCCTCTAGAAATTTAGGGGGAGCTGAATATACAGATGCTTTGTGCAACATGGAGAAACAAAGCCCTGAGCTGGACGGACGCACCCTCTTCTCTGATCCCAGGCTTGTAGCTAATGGGTTTAAAATCAAACTCACCCCAGGTACAGTGTAAATAACATTTTTGAGTCACAACGCAGTTGTGTGAGGCAGACCAATATGTGTGCAATCAAACATTTATCTGCCATTCACATGCAAGTCCTTCTGAACTTGATAGTACTACAGATCCCAAAACCAAAAGGCACACAAAAGTGTATAACACCCAGTCAATCAGAAAACAAGGATTTCTTATTGTTTGAGTCACGCTGGGTAAAGGTCTAATTTATTAACAATTGTTGGACCCTTTTTCAATCAGTAATGTCAAAGTTCACCAGTCATCTACAGTTCTTGTGGATAAGAAGAAACAGTCCCATTCCTCCAACAGATGTGTCCACAGGGAAACAATTATGGATGATGAAATAGAAATAGCATTTCGCATCATCACAATACAAATTTCTGTCCCCATTCATTTTTCCCTTGATCTGTGCTTCGACACAATCCTTGACCTCACGGCCTCGCTTTTGCTCTGATATGCACTGTCGGCTGCGAGACCTCATAAAGACCGGCGGTGTGTGTCTTTCTTAATCACATCCAATCAATAAAATGTACCACATTTAGACTCCATTCAGTCTGTAGGAACATATCAAAGATGATCAAGAGAAATCAGGAGGCACCTGAGCTCCATTTTAAATATCATTGCAAAGTGTCTGAATATTTAAGTCTATGTGATATTTCAGTTTTTCCTTTTAATACATTTGCAAACTTTTCTAAAAATTCAGTTTTTGCTCTGTCACTGTGGGTTACTGAGTGAGGTTTGATGACAACACTTTACACATAAGAAGTTACGTTTTGTGACAAATGTCTACAAACTAAGGAGGTGTTTCAACAATTCACTCAGACATTCATTATATTAACCATTAATCTGTAGCTCTAAACAGACAGTTAATATAGTGCAGTATAATATATATGAATAACTAACATTATCTTATAAAATCTTAAAAAAAAAAATGGAATTAGCTATTATATTGTTTACTAGGATGACAGATGATTCTGATAGTTCAAGTGGGAGTCAGTGTAGTTTAAACAAGTATATCCTGCAATAGAGTCCAACGCAAGGTTGCTGAGAATTATAAACACAATTTAAAAAATAAAATAAAGAAATGCCAGCTTTATTATCATTGTGACATTATTGACTTATTATTAATTCCTTATTACTTACTTTGCGAAGCCAAACAGTGCCCTGTGAATGTTGGCTGTTTTTGTTGCTGGAATGGTTCACCTCAGTTGACACTGGCCTTCTGCCCAACAGCATGGTCTCACAGTAGGTTTGTACCCCAGCGTGCAGGTGATGAGAATGGTTGCCCTTTGAGAAATTCTAGGAATTTTCATTTGGCACAGCCTGCCTCGGTGGGTGTGCATTGGATTGAAGGCAGCAGCATATGTAAGATGGTTTCACTGCACAATCTCTGCTGTGTATCTCCGTTTTTTTATTAGGATTGTTGAAAATGTGTATTGTTAATTATCGCTTGCATTTGCTGTTATTTTAAAAATGGAAAGAATTGACATATTAAAACAACATGTATCTCTATGGAGTTGTTGGTATTATAATCAGGAATTTGTCAGGGTCAGTTGTTGCTCTCCACATAAATAATAGCAAATGTACTTGCACATCCAGCAGAGAAATATTCAATAAATCTAAAGGTCTCTACATCTCCAGTTTTTATTTTTACCTTTCAGACTTCATTTTGCATCCAAAGTCATGTATCACAAATATGAATTGTCCATGATTTGTAGTATTTCCTCATGAAATAAGAAGCCATCATTCTTCCAACCTACAAGACAACTTCCTTCCAGTCTGCTGGGGCTTCTATTAGTCATTTAACACTCCATTTGGCCCTCAGCTTGTTTGACTTGGTCCTCACTCCGGCCGTAAACCACAATATTTATTTATTATTCTTTCCTGGAGATAGTAGTAGCGTCTGGAGTATATTAATCCTTGTCGTCTGCTTGTTTTGGCTAGGCCTCACATCAACTGATAGACATCTGGAAGTGACAGCAATGGCAGACTGTGTGCCTTTCCTCGGTGTGGAGGACCTCAGGGAGATCCTGACTGCAGTTCTTCACAGGAAGGCCGGGACCGTGCAGGAGTGCCGGCCACTTAAAGTAACAAACTACCTTCAAGTGAGAGATGCTACGAACGGATAATAAGAAGTCGTCGCTGAAGTGTTTTGTGGTGCTGTGTTAAATAAGTAAATTGTGATTTTGCGCTCACAGGGAGAAGCAGTACGACTTGCCCGTCAGGTGACTACAAATTTATCGAGGGAAGATGTGGAGGAAATCCTTGTGCGGATGGAACAGCAGCTTGGTGAGAACAGTAGGTCCTGCATCCATGGTCGGCCATTTCTCCAACACCTCTTAGATGTCCCTGTCACAGAACAGGAGGCTGAGGCTCTGCTGAGGCCTTTAGAGCTGTAGGCACGTTAATGAAAACTCACAGCAGTGCAAGATGAAACAGCTGCCTGTTTGTTTCCATTCTCAAATGATGTTTAACTTTGTTACAACAAGAATATAAAAATAAACATATTTATTCACATTGTGATGCATGAATTGTTCATTTGTATAAATGCCTTGAAATATATGTCACATATCGGTCAAAGTAAACCGAACTCGTGGACTGGCTCAGAAAGTCTTGATGAGGACAGTCAACAGTCTCTGTTTTGTCCATTTTTTATGAAAATGAGCCACAAGGTGCAATGATGCTGGAACATGTTTTCTATTGTAGCAGATGTGGCTGGCCTTTAATAGCCTGTCTGTATTTATTTAGCGCTTTTCTACTCTTGATGAGCACTTTACAGTACAGCTTATTGCCATTCACACACACATTCACACCATAGTGCATTTACGGGCAGGGGCAATGCAGGGTTCAGTTTCTTGCCCAAGGACACTTCGTCATGCAGATGGGGAGGACTGGGATAGAACCGCCAGAGAACAACCGCTCTATCCCCTTGTACCAATGTATAACTGAAATGAACATTACAGTAAACTTCATAATTAACATTTAAGTTCATAAGCAGATGATCCACTTGCAATTGCTTGAATCATTTATGGTTTTGTGAACTGATTTCCTGCATCATTTGCATTTTCTTGGATTAACAACATCGGTCTTCAAAAAGCAGAGTGACACCTGATTCCCTGACTTGATTTCAGTCCAAAAGCCAGTGTATCTTACTACCCCTAAGCCTCATTGTGGCACCATTGAAATGGGTATTGGCAAGCCAGAGATGTGCACTGTGCCAGCTACTACCCATAATTCTTTTCCCTCAATTAGTGCCAGCTGCTCGCCCTTTAGTATTGACAGATACTTGTGTATTATCCCTGGCTGCATTAAATGCTTCAGAGATTTGCACTGTAATTTCAACCACAAAGTTTAACAAATCCTTGATGCTGTGCTAACTTGTAGTGGTGCCACTTCCTAAAGACATTAGTCTGTTAGTGCATCAGTGTGGCTTGAGGTTGCTTGTGGGGAAATATGCTGATTTAGGCTGTGCTCAACAACTTAAAAAAAGGAGAGGATTACCATGCAGTAACTTATAAAACTATACATTTTTTAATCATTCCTATCATTTCTCAATCATTTTAAGCAGAACTAATGGAATGGCAGGTACTTGGATCTCAGAAAAAGGGATCTAATAAGAGAAAATTCAGTTTTGTCAGCACAGGAGGGCTGATCTGACCACACTTGGATAACAGAAATACATATACCCGCACGAGGCTTTCACTCACCACCTTTTCATATGGACACTGCATCCCACCGCAGGGAAAAGTGCAACCTGATCACTCATCTTATCATAATATTATAGTTAGGACCGTGAAAGGTCAAACCGCAGCACACGTCTTGTTTTACGTGGCCTCTTCTGAGAGGACCCACAGATAGACCCAGCATTGCTGCAGGGCCAGCACTCTGCAAAGTGCCGTTGGGTAGGGGATAAATGCCAGTGAGGACCCCCGCCCCTCCTCTCACCCTTCGCCCCTCAGCTTTTTGCCTCCTGCTCCTGCACAGACTCTTGTTTTAAACGTCTCACTGTTGGATATGTGCTCCTCAGTTGCTTGTATCCAGAAATGCGTGCAGAAGCAGAATCTACTCTGTACATGCTGCCTTTGGCACCCAAGGGGCATATCAGAGTAATTGGGGCGGATTAACTGATGATCATCTTTTGACCATGTGACCACACTGTTTAAAAGGTCAGCAACAGTTCACTTTGCCAGCTGTCTTTTAAACCACCTGTCGCATTCTTTTTAACTTTTTCTTCAACTAAATTGCAGTATTTGCTAATGATTAATCCAAATGTAGAGAATGGAAAAGAAGCCAGTTTGGGAATCGAAGCTAAATTTCGAATATCACAACCCTGATGCAAAAATACTCTGTTCACATACAGCGTCATCTAGATGGTTATCTGCTCTCCTATTACTGCCCTAATGTGCAGAGCTACTGCTTGTCACATCGTATTCAGCGGCCAGGGAAACTGTACACCACTCTCACAACCCAGAAGTAACCCTGCACTTTAACAGAGTCATCAAGTCCAAATTAAAATTACATGAGCTATATTTAACCCCTTTCCTACTCTATTTTTTGGAACTCTCACAAGAAGTATTCACATAGAGTACCTTGGCCAGTGCTGGGTACACGCACCATCTGCTTCTGTTTAGAAATATGAGACATATCAGGAGAAAGATAACATTTTATATCCCTTTGGGAATGTATGATTTGATTTAGTTGAAAAATGAATATCACCATTTTAAAAAGATTTAAATTTTTCATGTTTGCTTCAAAATAAATGATTATCACTAACCGGTCCACCCAATTAAATTAGTTTTTATCACATTTCTCAAAAGGCATTGAGTCATGTTTCTCTTAACCACTATGGCTGTTACAACTACAGTATTGATGCTTTTGTCTTAAGATACTCTCGAAAGAATACAAACAATTTATTTCAGGCATCTTGGCCCCAAACCCATAAAGGCATCACTGTGCCTAAGTTAACGGTCTAATGTTTCCGAATGAATCAACAGAGCATGTTTGGCCACAAACCAAAGTTTTGGATGATTAACTTTCAACCTGAAGATAGCACCAGGGGGAAAGGCAGGGGATCACCTAAGTTATTACAGTTCAGCTTGTGGGGGGACATGGATGTCTGCACCAAATTTCATGGCAACAATTCTGTTCACTCTAAACCAACATCAACATCCTTGTAGAGGGAAAACTGGGTAGACCAACTAACCAACTGATCTACAGATTCATGCCAGTGCCATGGCATGGTATGGGGTGGCTGTGGCTCAGGAGGTAGATCATGTCAACCACTAACCTCGGCGGTTCAATCCCAGTCTCCCCCGTTCCATAGGGTAAGATACTGAACCCCAAATGGCTCCTGATGGCTGGGAGAATGGCTAAACTGTACTGTAAAGCACTTAGCGTGCTCATCAAGACTAGAAAAGCGTAATTTCAGTCCATTTACCATGGCTAAAATAATTGAGAGCACAATATTATTAACCATATCCTTACCTAAAAAGGAATTTACAATATCCCCTGGAAAGGGCATATGGACAAATGGTAGTAATGAAAGACTCATAAAATTGATGGAATTTAAGACAGAAGGGACTCCACCCTCTGAATACCTGGAAAATAGGATGAGGAAAAGTAAATATTTCACTTGTGCCTATAAAAATGACATTGCACAGAATTACAGCACTGACATTCAGGATGATTCATACTTCCCCCTCACAATCATGGGCTTTTGTACAGTAATAATCTGAGCAGACACCCCTCCACACCCAGACTAGACACACACAGGTGTTTTCACTCGCCTGGTGAGATGTATTTGGCAGTGTAGGTGTGTTTACACTTTGATTGACAGCTTTTCCACCTCTTTTCGCTTCGTTAGCTCTACCTACCGTAGCTTTAACCTGACTGAGGACTAATCTGCCATAGAAAAAAAGTGGACCAAACACATTTGCTGCCTTTAAAGGTCCAGTGTGTAAGATTTAGGTGAAAGGGATCTATTGGCTAATAAATAATAAAATAAATAAATAATCCTAGGGATTTTTTCACTAGTGTGTCACATCTAAATTGTACGATTTGTTGTTTTCTTTGCCCTTGAATGGGCCCTTTATATTTAAATACCTTGTATTTACATCGGGAGCTGGTCCTCTCTACGGAGGCTGCCATGTTTTTTACAGTAGTCCACTGGACAAACTAAATATCTTTTGAGTTTTTATGACAACTGAATGCTGCCACTGGTTCTCTGTCATGTTTGGAAGGGGGGGTGAGGTGAGGGGTGTTCAGCTGCAACATGCAACTTTGAGCTCTTCTTTCGTTTTTTTCACAAATCCTCCCTCAGCTGTTCTGTTTTACTTGTTACCTAGTTTGTTGCATGCACAGCTAGCGTATCATATTACGATTCAAAACGTTATTTCAATTGCAGAACTTATCTGCAATAATCTGTTCAATTAAAAAAATGATGAATGTGTGTGAGAAGGTAGAAAGCTCTGCTGATAATAATATCAACACATTGTCTCATAGAAGACATAGGGAAGCATTTAGAATTCAACACCACCGAGAGAAGAAACATGGACAAAAGGTTTTATGACTTAAATTCTCATGAGCACTAAAGTGAAACAGTGGTGCAGGAAGTTCGATAGAATGGAACATTAATTCTCATCAATTCTGCAATATTGTGAATTTGTGAGTATGGGTTGTGTTCTTATTAATCTTTATCTTATTACATGTTTAATTTAGCTTGATTTCTGAGTCCTTTGTGGAGTCCTGGAATAGAGTAGCTGCTGACTGGTTAGATATCTTGCACAGCAACCTACTTAAGTTCAAAATCAGTGTCTTGTTGACATTTGACATGGAGTTATAAGATGCAGTACAGACACACTGAGATTAAGATAATTCCAACACAAATAGCCTGTTGTGTTTCTTTTGCCAAAGCATACCCCTCAGAGCTGGCAGGCAAATATTCTTGTGGCTTAGTGCAGGTTTTGTTTTAATGCATGTGTGTGTTTGTGCACCTGTGTGTTTTCATATGACTATTGTAAAGATATAGTTAAACATTGCCTTCTTCAGAACACAGTATAAAGAGTTTTCTTGAAAATATTACACATGATTATTGTATTATTATCACTGCAAGTGACCCCAATAAAAGAATGTTTGAATCCAAAGCAAACAAAGGTCTTAAAACCCCAACACTCACCATCATCATCATCAAACTTTACACAAGGACTTATTCAAGTGTCTTAAAACCATTAACTGTACCATGTTCCATATGGGAATGACTATAAAAACTTTGCTGCATCCAAGTTTTTGCTTTTCAGCAGGTAATTGGTGGTGGGGCCGTGCTGTGACGGTGCACTTTTCTGCCAACCACTGAAGAGCCACTAAGTTTTTTTTATGGGCTTCAGGCACACACTAATGTGATGGGTGTTAAAAATCCACAGGTTCTCAACTATTGGAGAATTTACAGCCACACCACATTCAATTTCATGGGTCAAGGGCATCCACAGTGGGGCCATCAAGTCTACTCTTTTTAATTTTTA